CGTGTCCCCAAGTACCGTTGCTAAGTTGCTCACAGCCACCAGCTTGGGATGGTAACGTAATCGTGTCCCCAAGTACCGTTGCTAAGTTGCTCACAGCCACCAGCTTGGGACGGCAACGTAATCGTGTCCCCAAGTACCGTTGCTAAGTTGCTCACAGCCACCAGCTTGGGATGGTAACGTAATCGTGTCCCCAAGTACCGTTGTGCTAAGTTGCTCACAGCCACCAGCTTGGGATGGTAACGTAATCGTGTCCCCAAGTACCGTTGCTAAGTTGTTCACAGCCACCAGCTTGGGATGGTAACGTAATCGTGTCCCCAAGTACCGTTGCTAAGTTGCTCACAGCCACCAGCTTGGGATGGTAACGTAATCGTGTCCCCAAGTACCGTGCTAAGTTGCTCACAGCCACCCGCTTGGGATGGTAACGTAATCGTGTCCCCAAGTACCGTGCTAAGTTGCTCACAGCCACCAGCTTGGGATGGTAACGTAATCGTGTCCCCAAGTACCGTGCTAAGTTGCCCACAGCCACCAGCTTGGGATGGTAACGTAATCGTGTCCCCAAGTACCGTGCTAAGTTGCCCACAGCCACCAGCTTGGGATGGTAACATAATCGTGTCCCCAAGTACCGTGCTAAGTTGCCCACAGCCACCAGCTTGGGATGGTAACGTAATCGTGTCCCCAAGTACCGTGCTAAGTTGCTCACAGCCACCCGCTTGGGATGGTAACGTAATCGTGTCCCCAAGTACCGTGCTAAGTTGCTCACAGCCACCCGCTTGGGATGGTAACGTAATCGTGTCCCCAAGTACCAGGCTAAGTTGCTCACAGCCACCCGGCTTGGATGGTAACGTTAATCGTTGGTCCCCAAGTACCGTGCTAGGTTGCTCCCCAGCCACCCGCTTTGGGATGGTAACTTAACGTGTCCCAATACCGTGGCTAAGTTGCTCACAGCCACCCGCTTGGGATGGTAACGTAATCGTGTCCCCAAGTACCGTGCTAAGTTGCTCACAGCCACCCGCTTGGGATGGTAACGCAATCGTGTCCCCAAGTACCGTGCTAAGTTGCTCACAGCCACCAGCTTGGGATGGTAACGTAATCGTGTCCCCAAGTACCGTGCTAAGTTGCTCACAGCCACCCGCTTGGGATGGTAACGTAATCGTGTCCCCAAGTACCGTGCTAAGTTGCTCACAGCCACCCGCTTGGGATGGTAACGTAATCGTGTCCCCAAGTACCGTGCTAAGTTGCTCACAGCCAGCCGCTTGGGATGGTAACGTAATCGTGTCCCCAAGTACCGTGCTAAGTTGCTCACAGCCACCAGCTTGGGATGGTAACGTAATCGTGTCCCCAAGTACCGTTGCTAAGTTGCTCACAGCCACCAGCTTGGGATGGTAACGTAATCGTGTCCCCAAGTACCGTTGCTAAGTTGCTCACAGCCACCAGCTTGGGATGGTAACGTAATCGTGTCCCAAAGTACCGTTGCTAAGTTGCTCACAGCCACCAGCTTGGCATGGTAACGTAATCGTGTCCCCAAGTACCGTTGCTAAGTTGCTCACAGCCACCAGCTTGGAATGGTAACGTAATCGTGTCCCCAAGTACCGTTGCTAAGTTGCTCACAGCCACCAGCTTGGGATGGTAACGTAATCGGTCAACCACCCACGTACAGTGCTAAGTTGTCCAGCAACAAGATATGGGATGGTACGAATCGTGCACCAAGCGACCGTGTAAGTTGCTCACGCACCGCTTGGGATGGTAACGTAATCGTGTCCCCAAGTACCGTGCTAAGTTGCTCACAGCCACCAGCTTGGGATGGTAACGTAATCGTGTCCCCAAGTACCGTGCTAAGTTGCTCACAGCCACCAGCTTGGGATGGTAACGTAATCGTGTCCCCAAGTACCGTGCTAAGTTGCCCACAGCCACCAGCTTGGGATGGTAACGTAATCGTGTCCCCAAGTACCGTGCTAAGTTGCCCACAGCCACCAGCTTGGGATGGTAACATAATCGTGTCCCCAAGTACCGTGCTAAGTTGCCCACAGCCACCAGCTTGGGATGGTAACGTAATCGTGTCCCCAAGTACCGTGCTAAGTTGCTCACAGCCACCCGCTTGGGATGGTAACGTAATCGTGTCCCCAAGTACCGTGCTAAGTTTCTCACAGCCACCCGCTTGGGATGGTAACGTAATCGTGTCCCCAAGTACCGTGCTAAGTTGCTCACAGCCACCCGCTTGGATGGTAAAGTTAAATCGTGTCCACCAAGTACCGTGCTAAAGTTGCTCACAGCCACCCGATTGGATTTAACGAATCGTGTCCCCAAGATACCGTGCTAAGTGCCCACAGCCAACCTGCTGGGATTGTAAACGTAATCGTGGTCCCCCCCCCAAGTACGGGGCTAAGTGCTCACAGCCACCACGCGTGGGATGGAAGTAATCGTGTCCCCAAAGTTACCGTGACTTGCTCACAGCCACCAGCTTGGGATGGTAACGTAATCGTGTCCCCAAGTACCGTTGCTAAGTTGCTCACAGCCACCAGCTTGGGATGGTAACGTAAGCGTGTCCCCAAGTACCGTTGCTAAGTTGCTCACAGCCACCAGCTTGGGATGGTAACGTAATCGTGTCCCCAAGTACCGTTGCTAAGTTGCTCACAGCCGTGTCCCCAAGTACCGTTGCTAAGTTGCTCATAGCCACCAGCTTGGGATGGTAACGTAATCGTGTCCCCAAGTACCGTTGCTAAGTTGCTCACAGCCACCAGCTTGGGATGGTAACGTAATCGTGTCCCCAAGTACCGTTGCTAAGTTGCTCACAGCCACCAGCTTGGGATGGTAACGTAATCGTGTCCCAAGTACCGTTGCTAAGTTGCTCACAGCCACCAGCTTGGGATGGTAACGTAATCGTGTCCCCAAGTACCGTTGCTAAGTTGCTCACAGCCACCAGCTTGGGATGGTAACGTAATCGTGTCCCCAAGTACCGTTGCTAAGTTGCTCACAGCCACCAGCTTGGGATGGTAACGTAATCGTGTCCCCAAGTACCGTTGTTAAGTTGCTCACAGCCACCAGCTTGGGATGGTAACGTAATCGTGTCCCCAAGTACCGTTGCTAAGTTGCCACAGCCACAGCTTGGATGGTAAAGTAAGCGTCGTGTCCCCAAGTTTACCGTGCTCAGTTGCTCACAGCCCACCCGCTTGGGATGGTAAGTAATCGTGTCCCCAAGTTTTTGTTTTACGTGCTAAGTTGCTCGCACCACCCGCTTGGGAGGTAATAACGTAATCGTGTCCCCAAGTACCGTTGCTAAGTTGCTCACAGCCACCAGCTTGGGATGGTAACGTAATCGTGTCCCCAAGTACCGTTGCTAAGTTGCTCACAGCCACCAGCTTGGGATTGTAACGTAATCGTGTCCCCAAGTACCGTTGCTAAGTTGCTCACAGCCACCAGCTTGGGATGGTAACGTAATCGTGTCCCCAAGTACCGTTGCTAAGTTGCTCACAGCCACCAGCTTGGGATGGTAACGTCATCGTGTCCCCAAGTACCGTTGCTAAGTTGCTCACAGCCACCAGCTTGGGATGGTAACGTAATCGTGTCCCCAAGTACCATTGCTAAGTTGCTCACAGCCACCAGCTTGGGATGGTAACGTAATCGTGTCCCCAAGTACCGTTGCTAAGTTGCCCACAGCCACCAGCTTGGGATGGTAACATAATCGTGTCCCCAAGTACCGTGCTAAGTTGCCCACAGCCACCAGCTTGGGATGGTAACGTAATCGTGTCCCCAAGTACCGTGCTAAGTTGCTCACAGCCACCCGCTTGGGATGGTAACGTAATCGTGTCCCCAAGTACCGTGCTAAGTTGCTCACAGCCACCCGCTTGGGATGGTAACGTAATCGTGTCCCCAAGTACCGTGCTAAGTTGCTCACAGCCACCAGCTTGGGATGGTAACGTAATCGTGTCCCCAAGTACCGTGCTAAGTTGCTTGGTAACGTAATCGTGTCCCCAAGTACCGTGCTAAGTTGCTCACAGCCACCAGCTTGGGATGGTAACGTAATCGTGTCCCCAAGTACCGTGCTAAGTTGCTCACAGCCACCCGCTTGGGATGGTAACGTAATCGTGTCCCCAAGTACCGTGCTAAGTTGCTCACAGCCACCCGCTTGGGATGGTAACGTAATCGTGTCCCCAAGTACCGTGCTAAGTTGCTCACAGCCACCCGCTTGGGATGGTAACGTAATCGTGTCCCCAAGTACCGTGCTGTAAGGGCGGTTTGGTTATAAGTTGACTTGTCGGGGTTATATTTAACTTACGGGGGGCTGATTACAAGTCAGGTTATAAGTCAGTTATAAGTATCGTAAGTCTTACTGCGTTGCGCAACTCCACGGTTTTTAAAGAAACCGACTCAGAAGCGAGAAAGCTTAAAAATCGCAGAAATCATTGCCAAAATAAAGCACACACACAAACAAAGACCAGCTTTTCTGCTCAAGTAAGTGTGATGATATCATCGTTAGCTCGATGCCACCACTGTGGCAGCCAGTAGGGTTCATCGGCTCTCACTTTCCAGAGTTTCTGCTTTTGCGTGAGCTGCCATCTGCATCCCCATGCATGGTCAGAGAGATGCTGAAAGCTCTGCAGGAGAAGCCATAAAGCCTGATCATCGGCTGGCAAGCTCCTCAGGCAGAAGGTTCTTCTTGCACTCACTGCACTGCAGGCTGCTCGCCGCAACGGCCGCTTCGGGCTCTGCCATCCCTGCAGCAGAGGTTGCAAGCAAAAAAACTGCAAGCGCCTAAAGGAATCTCGAGCCATATATGACAGCGGCACATGCTTGGAAATCGGCAGGACAACAAAGAGTCCGACTACGTCTGGACTACGTTCAGACTACGTCGCACAGAATGCAGGAAATTGTTGGACTACGTTCCGACTACGTCCCGCCTACGTCTGTTTTCCTATGAAAAGTGTTGGACGACGTCCAGACTACGTCTGTTTCCTTAGCTGCAGGGTGGTTTTGGGGCTGGACTACGTCCAGACTACGTCGGTTTTCATAGAAAAGCATGCTTTTTTTACGTCCAGACTACGTTCAGACTACGTCCGATTTTTCATGGCCATGGCATGGACTACGTCCGGACTACGTTCAGACTACGTCGGTCTGCAAGAAAAACCGATGTTTTTTCCAAAGAGAACAGCCCTAAAGCTCAATCCAAAGATTCCAAGAAAGACTCGGGCTCGCGAGACTTTCCAAGCTGTTTTCACCGATTGCAACAGCATGTGTGACTGGAAGGTGTTCAGGCCTTCGCCGCTCAAAGACAACAGCGCCGTCATCGCTCCCATGCTGCTCTCGCTGGGATGACGCAGTCCCAGGGCAAACGCATGCCGAAAAAGAGCATCGCTACGAACGGCGAAATTTTCGGCGCTGCGAAGCATCACCCAGAGTGACTGAGTCAGATACGTGTACAGCATGTTGTAGTCCTGATTCGCCGCACGGCGAGTAGGACCACCACCTGCACCTGCATCGCCTTCCATGGCCTAATATACCGCAAAACTCCTCTATATAAGCAACAGCGGCTTCCAGATATATGTCGAAGATCGTGTTTTGCTGCGCACGCCAAAAAATCATGGTTGCGAAACCAATATTGGAAAGTGTGGACATGCTTTCATCGAAAAACATAGGAACATTAAGTTGGACATAAGTATAACATAAGTTGCACAAGTGTGCCCGACAAAAAATGGTAAGTAGGTTATAACTCTTACAATTGAGGGTGGGACTTACAAGAGTTATAATTCATATTGCCCCAAATATTACCGAATTTATACAGCTTATATGTTCACTTATAACCAATCCGCCGTTACAGTGCTAAGTTGCCCACAGCCACCCGCTTGGGATGGTAACGTAATCGTGTCCCCAAGTACCGTGCTAAGTTGCTCACAGCCACCCGCTTGGGATGGTAACGTAATCGTGCCCCCAAGTACCGTGCTAAGTTGCTCACAAGATCCACTCCGAGGACAGGGAATCAAGCCCGGAGCCACGATCGCCACACCGCTGGCTGGTACGTAATCGTTCCCCCAGTAACCGTGCTAAGTTGCTCACACCACCAGCTTGGGTGGTAACGTACACGTGTCCCCAAGTACGTGCTAAGTTGCTCACAAAAAATCACCCGCTTGGGATGGTACGTAATCGTTTCCCCAAGTACCGGCTAAGTTGCTCACTACCCGCCCCCCGATTTGGGATGGTACGTATCGTGCCCCAATTAACCGTGCTACGTTGCTCACAGCCCCAGCTTGGGATGGTACACGTATCGTGTCCCCAAGTACCCGTGCTAGTTTGCTCACTATCCACCGCGCTGGGGATGTTAGGGTGGTTTGGGGTGGGGGGGGGGGGGGGCTGGGGGGGGGTTTTTTATTTGGTGGGGGGGGGGGGGGGGGGGGGGGGGGGGGGGGGGGGGGGGGGGGGGGGGGGGGGGGGGGGGGGGGGGGGGGGGGGGGGTGGGGGGTGGGGGGGGGTGGGGGGGGGGGGGGGGGGGGGGGGGGGGGGGGGGGGGGGGGGGGGGGGGGGGGGGGGGGGGGGGGGGGGGTGTGGGTGGGGGGGGGGGGGGGGGGGGGGGGGGGGGGGGGGGGGGGGGGGGGGGGGGGGGGGGGGGGGGGGGGGGGGGGGGGGGGGGGGGGGGGGCGTAAGCGGTACCCAGTACCGTGCGAAGTGGCTCACCCCAACCAGCCACCACAAGCCCCCCGCTTTGGATGGTAACGGATCGTGTCCCCAGTACCGTGTGCTAAGTTGCTCACAGCCACCCGCTTGGGATGGTACCGTGAATCGTGTCCCACGTACCCGTTGCCTAAATTTGTTGCTCAGGCCACCCGTTGGGGAGGGGGTAACGTATCTGTCCCAATTACAGTCTAAGTTTCTCACGAGCCACCCGCTTGGATGACCGTAACGTGTCCCCAATACCGTGCTAAGTTTCTCACAGCCCCGCTTTGGATGGTACGTAATCGTTCCCCAAGTGACAGTGCTAAGTTGCTCCAGAGCCACCCGCTTGGGATGGTAACGTAATCGTGTCCCAACGTACCGTGCTAAGTTGCTCACAGCCACCCGCTTGGGATGGTAACGTAATCGTGTCCCCAAGTACCGTGCTAAGTTGCTCACAGCCACCCGCTTGGGATGGTAACGTAATCGTGTCCCCAAGTACCGTGCTAAGTTGCTAACAGCCACCCGCTTGGGATGGTAACGTAATCGTGTCCCCAAGTTACAGTAGATAAGTTGCTCACAAGCCACCAGCTTGGGGATTGGTACGTAATCGTGTCCCATAGTACCGTGCTAAAGTGCTCACAGCCACCCGCTTGGGGATGGTAAACGTAATCGTTGGTCCCCAAGTACCGTGTAAGTAGCTCCAGCAACCCACTTGGGATGGTAAACCGTATTTCGTGTTTCCCAAAGTACCGTGCTAGAGTTTGCTCCAGACCACCCTGCTTGGGATGGGAACGTCAATGTCGTGTCCCCAAGTACAGTGCTAGTTTGCTCAAAGCAACCCGCTTGGGATGGTTTTAACGTATCGTGTCCCAAGTTACCGTGTAAGTTGCTTAACAGCCACCCGCTTGGGATTGTAATGTAAACGTGTCCCCAAGTACCGTGCTAAGTTGCTCACAGCCACCCGCTTGGGATGGTACCGTAATCGTGTCCCCAAGTACCGTGCTAAGTTGCTCACAGCCACCCGCTTGGGATGGTAACGTAATCGTGTCCCCAAGTACCGTGCTAAAAGTTGCTCGCAGCCACCCGCTTGGGATGGTAACGTAATCGTGTCCCCAAGTACCGTGCTAAGTTGCTCACAGCCACCCGCTTGGGATGGTAACGTAATCGTGTCCCCAAGTACCGTGCTAAGTTGCTCACAGCCACCAGCTTGGGATGGTAACGTAATCGTGTCCCCAAGTACCGTGCTAAGTTGCCCACAGCCACCAGTTTGGGATGGTAACGTAATCGTGTCCCCAAGTACCGTGCTAAGTTGCCCACAGCCACCAGCTTGGGATGGTAACGTAATCGTGTCCCCAAGTACCGTGCTAAGTTGCTCACAGCCACCCGCTTGGGATGGTAACGTAATCGTGTCCCCAAGTACCGCGCTAAGTTGCTCACAGCCACCCGCTTGGGATGGTAACGTAATCGTGTCCCCAAGTACCGTGCTAAGTTGCTCACAGCCACTCAGCTTGGGATGGTAACGTAATCGTGTCCCCAAGTACCGTGCTAAGTTGCCCACAGCCACCAGTTTGGGATGGTAACGTAATCGTGTCCCCAAGTACCGTGCTAAGTTGCCCACAGCCACCAGCTTGGGATGGTAACGTAATCGTGTCCCCAAGTACCGTGCTAAGTTGCTCACAGCCACCCGCTTGGGATGGTAACGTAATCGTGTCCCCAAGTACCGTGCTAAGTTGCTCACAGCCACCAGCTTGGGGGATGGTAAGCGTAATTCGGAGTCCCTGTCCAAGTACCGTGCGAAGTTGCTCACAGCCACCCGCTTGGGATGGCAACGTAATCGTGTCCCCAAGTACCGTGCTAAGTTGCTCACAGCCACCCGCTTGGGATGGTAACGTAATCGTGTCCCCAAGTACCGTGCTAAGTTGCTCACAGCCACTCGCTTGGGATGGTAACGTAATCGTGTCCCCAAGTACCGTGCTAAGTTGCTCACAGCCACCAGCTTGGGATGGTAACGTAATCGTGTCCCCAAGTACCGTGCTAAGTTGCTCACAGCCACCCGCTTGGGATGGTAACGTAATCGTGTCCCCAAGTACCGGTGGCTAAGTTGTGCGCACAGCCACCGCTGGGGATGGTAACGTATCGTTTTTTTGTTTTCATGTCAACAAGTACCGTGCTAGTTGATCACAGCCACCGCTTGGGATGGGTTGAACGTAATCGTGTCCCCAAGTACCGTGCTAAGTTGCTCACAGCCACCAGCTTGGGATGGTAACGTAATCGTGTCCCCAAGTACCGTGCTAAGCTGCCCACAGCCACCCGCTTGGGATGGTAACGTAATCGTGTCCCCAAGTACCGTGCTAAGTTGCTCACAGCCACCCGCTTGGGATGGTAACGTAATCGTGTCCCCAAGTACCGTGCTAAGTTGCTCACAGCCACCAGCTTGGGATGGTAACGTAATCGTGTCCCCAAGTACCGTGCTAAGTTGCCCACAGCCACCAGCTTGGGATGGTAACGTAATCGTGTCCCCAAGTACCGTGTTAAGTTGCTCACAGCCACCCGCTTGGGATGGTAACGTAATCGTGTCCCCAAGTACCGTGCTAAGTTGCTCACAGCCACCCGCTTGGGATGGTAACGTAATCGGGTCCCCAAGTACCGTGCTAAGTTGCTCACAGCCACCCGCTTGGGATGGTAACGTAATCGTGTCCCCAAGTACCGTGCTAAGTTGCTCACAGCCACCCGCTTGGGATGGTATCGTAATCGTGTCCCCAAGTACCGTGCTAAGTTGCTCACAGCCACCCGCTTGGGATGGTAACGTAATCGTGTCCCCAAGTACCGTGCTAAGTTGCTCGCAGCCACCCGCTTGGGATGGTAACGTAATCGTGTCCCCAAGTACCGTGCTAAGTTGCTCACAGCCACCCGCTTGGGATGGTAACGTAATCGTGTCCCCAAGTACCGTGCTAAGTTGCTCACAGCCACCCGCTTGGAATGGTAACGTAATCGTTTTTGGGTCCCCCCCCCAAAAGACCGTGCTAGGTGCTCACAGCCACCCGCGTTGGGATGGTAAACGTAATCGTGTCCCAAGTACCGTGCTAAAGTGGCGCACAGGGCCACCAGCTTGTTTTTTAGTGTAACGTAATGTGTCCCCAAGTACCGTCGCTAAGTTGCCCACAAGCCACAAGCTTGGGATTGGTAACGTAAAATCGTGGTCCCCAAGTCCGGGCTAAGTTTCTGCTCACAGCCACCCGATTGGGATTGTAACGTAATCGTGTCCCAAGTAGGACCGTGCTAAGGGTCCACAGCCACCCGCTTGGGATGGTAACGTAATCGTGTCCCCAAGTACCGTGCTAAGTTGCTCACAGACACCCGCTTGGGATGGTAACGTAATCGTGTCCCCAAGTACCGTGCTAAGTTGCTCACAGCCACCCGCTTGGGATGGTAACGTAATCGTGTCCCCAAGTACCGTGCTAAGTTGCTCACAGCCACCCGCTTGGGATGGTAACGTAATCGTGTCCCCCAAGACCGTGCCTAAGTTGCTCACCACAGCCACCCGCTGGGATGGTAAAGTAAATGTGTCCCCCAAGTACCGTGCAAGTTGCTCACAGCACACCAGCTTGGGATGCGTAACGTAATCGTGCCCACCCCAAGTACCGTTTGCTAAGTTGTCTCACCAGCCCACCAGCGGGATGGTAACGTAATCGTGTCACCAAGTACCGTGAGTAATCGTGTCCCCAAGTACCGTGCTAAGTTGCCCCCAGCCACCAGCTTGGGATGGTAACGTAATCGTGTCCCCAAGTACCGTGCTAAGTTGCTCACAGCCACCCGCTTGGGATGGTAACTTAATACGTGCCCAAAAGTACCGTGCTAAGTTGCCTCACAGCCACCGCTGGGAATGGTAACGTATTCGTGTCACCAAGTTACCGTGCTAGGTGCTCACAGCCACAGCTTGGGAGTGTAAACGTGAATCGTGTACCAAGTAACCGTGCTAAGTTGCTCACAGCCACCAGCTTGGGATGGTAACGTAATCGTGTCCCCATGTACCGTTGCTAAGTTGCTCACAGCCACCAGCTTGGGATGGTAACGTAATCGTGTCCCCAAGTACCGTTGCTAAGTTGCTCACAGCCACCAGCTTGGGATGGTAACGTAATCGTGTCCCCAAGTAACGTTGCTAAGTTGCTCACAGCCACCAGCTTGGGATGGTAACGTAATCGTGTCCCCAAGTACCGTTGCTAAGTTGCTCACAGCCACCAGCTTGGGATGGTAACGTAATCGTGTCCCCAAGTACCGTTGCTAAGTTGCTCACAGCCAGCAGCTTGGGATGGTAACGTAATCGTGTCCCCAAGTACCGTTGCTAAGTTGCTCACAGCCACCAGCTTGGGATGGTAACGTAATCGTGTCCCCAAGTACAGTGCTAAGTTGCCCACAGCCACCAGCTTGGGATGGTAACGTAATCGTGTCCCCAAGTACCGTGCTAAGTTGCTCACAGCCACCCGCTTGGGATGGTAACGTAATCGTGTCCCCAAGTACCGTGCTAAGTTGCTCACAGCCACCCGCTTGGGAGGGTAACGTAATCGTGTCCCCAAGTACCGTGCTAAGTTGCTCACAGCCACCCGCTTGGGATGGTAACGTAATCGTGTCCAAGTACCGTGCTAAGTTGCTCACAGGCCAACCGCTTGGGATGGAACGTAACGGTCACAAGTCCGTGTACGTGTCACAGCAACCGCCTTGGGCATGTAACGTAATCGTGTCCCCAAGTACAGTGCTAAGTGCTCAAGCCACCCGCGTGGTTTTTGGGATGGTCTAAAGTAATCGTGGCCCCAAGTTACCGTTGGCTAAGTTGCCACAGCCACCCGACGTGGGATAGTACAGTAATAATCGTGTCCCCAAGTACCGTGCTAAGTTGCTCACAGCCACCAGCTTGGGATGGTAACGTAATCGTGTCCCCAAGTACCGTGCTAAGTAGCCCACAGCCACCAGCTTGGGATGGTAACGTAATCGTGTCCCCAAGTACCGTGCTAAGTTGCTCACAGCCACCAGCTTGGGATGGTAACGTAATCGTGTCCCCAAGTACCGTGCTAAGTTGCCCACAGCCACCAGCTTGGGATGGTAACGTAATCGTGTCCCCAAGTACCGTGCTAAGTTGCCCCCAGCCACCAGCTTGGGATGGTAACGTAATCGTGTCCCCAAGTACCGTGCTAAGTTGCTCACAGCCACCCGCTTGGGATGGTAACGTAATCGTGTCCCCAAGTACCGTGCTAAGTTGCTCACAGCCACCCGCTTGGGATGGTAACGTAATCGTGTCCCCAAGTACCGTACTAAGTTGCTCACAGCCACCCGCTTGGGATGGTAACGTAATCGTGTCCCCAAGTACCGTGCTAAGTTGCTCACAGCCACCCGCTTGGGATGGTAACGTAATCGTGTCCCCAAGTACCGTGCGAAGTTGCTCACAGCCACCCGCTTGGGATGGTAACGTAATCGTGTCCCCAAGTACCGTGCTAAGTTGCTCACAGCCACCCGCTTGGGATGGTAACGTAATCGTGTCCCCAAGTACCGTGCTAAGTTGCTCACAGCCACCAGCTTGGGATGGTAACGTAATCGTGTCCCCAAGTACCGTGCTAAGTTGCCCACAGCCACCAGTTTGGGATGGTAACGTAATCGTGTCCCCAAGTACCGTGCTAAGTTGCCCACAGCCACCAGCTTGGGATGGTAACGTAATCGTGTCCCCAAGTACCGTGCTAAGTTGCTCACAGCCACCCGCTTGGGATGGTAACGTAATCGTGTCCCCAAGTACCGCGCTAAGTTGCTCACAGCCACCCGCTTGGGATGGTAACGTAATCGTGTCCCCAAGTACCGTGCTAAGTTGCTCACAGCCACTCAGCTTGGGATGGTAACGTAATCGTGTCCCCAAGTACCGTGCTAAGTTGCCCACAGCCACCAGTTTGGGATGGTAACGTAATCGTGTCCCCAAGTACGTGTCCCCAAGTACCGTGCTAAGTTGCTCACAGCCACCCGCTTGGGATGGTAACGTAATCGTGTCCCCAAGTACCGTGCTAAGTTGCTCACAGCCACCCGCTTGGGATGGTAACGTAATCGTGTCCACAAGTACCGTGCTAAGTTGCTCACAGCCACCAGCTTGGGATGGTAACGTAATCGTGTCCCCAAGTACCGTGCTAAGTTGCCCACAGCCACCCGCTTGGGATGGTAACGTAATCGTGTCCCCAAGTACCGTGCTAAGTTTCCCACAGCCACCCGCTTGGGATGGTAACGTAATCGTGTCCCCAAGTACCGTGCTAAGTTGCTCACAGCCACCAGCTTGGGATGGTAACGTAATCGTGTCCCCAAGTACCGTGCTAAGTTGCTCACAGCCACCCGCTTGGGATGGTAACGTAATCGTGTCCCCAAGTACCGTGCTAAGTTGCTCACAGCCACCAGCTTGGGATGGTAACGTAATCGTGTCCCCAAGTACCGTGCTAAGTTGCTCACAGCCACCAGCTTGGGATGGTAACGTAATCGTGTCCCCAAGTACCGTGCTAAGTTGCCCACAGCCACCCGGGATGGTAACGTAATCGTGTCCCCAGTACCGTGCTAAGTTGCTCACAGCCACCAGCTTGGTAACGTCCCAAGTACCGTCTCACCCAGCTTGGGATGGTAACGTAATCGTGTCCCCAAGTACCGTTTGCTCACAGCTTGCCACAGCCACCAGCTTGGGATGGTAACGTAATCGTGTCCCCAAGTACCGTGTCCCCAAGTACCGTAAGTTGCTCACAGCCACCAGCTTGGGATGGTAACGTAATCGTGTCCCCAAGTACCGTGCTAAGTTGCTCACAGCCACCAGCTTGGGATGGTAACGTAATCGTGTCCCCAAGTACCGTTGCTAAGTTGCTCACAGCCACCAGCTTGGGATGGTAACGTAATCGTGTCCCCAAGTACCGTGCTAAGTTGCTCACAGCCACCAGCTTGGGATGGTAACGTAATCGTGTCCCCAAGTACCGTGCTAAGTTGCTCACAGCCACCAGCTTGGGATGGTAACGTAATCGTGTCCCCAAGTACCGTGCTAAGTTGCTCACAGCCACCAGCTTGGGATGGTAACGTAATCGTGTCCCCAAGTACCGTGCTAAGTTGCTCACAGCCACCCGCTTGGGATGGTAACGTAATCGTGTCCCCAAGTACCGTGCTAAGTTGCTCACAGCCACCAGCTTGCCACAATCTTGGGATAAACGTAATCGTGTCCCCAAGTACTCACAGCCACCCGCTTGGGATGGTAACGTAATCGTGTCCCCAAGTACCGTGCTAAGTTGCTCACAGCCACCAGCTTGGGATGGTAACGTAATCGTGTCCCCAAGTACCGTGCTAAGTTGCTCACAGCCACCCGCTTGGGATGGTAACGTAATCGTGTCCCCAAGTACCGTGCTAAGTTGCTCACAGCCACCAGCTTGGGATGGTAACGTAATCGTGTCCCCAAGTACCGTGCTAAGTTGCTCACAGCCACCCGCTTGGGATGGTAACGTAATCGTGTCCCCAAGTACCGTGCTAAGTTGCTCACAGCCACCAGCTTGGGATGGTAACGTAATCGTGTCCCCAAGTACCGTGCTAAGTTGCCACAGCCACCAGCTTGGGATGGTAACGTAATCGTGTCCCCAAGTACCGTGCTAAGTTGCTCACAGCCACCCGCTTGGGATGGTAACGTAATCGTGTCCCCAAGTACCGTGCTAAGTTGCTCACAGCCACCCGCTTGGGATGGTAACGTAATCGTGTCCCCAAGTACCGTGCTAAGTTGCTCACAGCCACCAGCTTGGGATGGTAACGTAATCGTGTCCCCAAGTACCGTGCTAAGTTGCCCACAGCCACCAGCTTGGGATGGTAACGTAGCCACCAGCTTGGGATGGTAACGTAATCGTGTCCCCAAGTACCGTGCTAAGTTGCTCACAGCCACCCGCTTGGGATGGTAACGTAATCGTGTCCCCAAGTACCTCTAAGATCAGGTTAGGCTATTTTGGGACATATATCCTATTTGGCAAAATAGTTTATTTTACCTGGAAATATACTATTTTAAATAGACTATTTCGCTCTTGTTTCATAGTCTATTTTTCCGGTTATTTGGTAAATAGACTATGCAAAAACAGGTTATATGGTAGAATATAGGATATTTTCGCATATGTTGGAAACCAAAAAATCATCGGAAATCCATACAGAACAAAGTCAGTCTTGCTTAGAAAAAACACGTGTGCGAATAGGGAAATGTGTTGAAAACCGATCCGTGTTGAAAGATTTTCTTGAAATGTTAACTCGTTTGATACCGAGGAAATCAGCACGGTCCATTAAACACTCGTGAAAAGTTTGCCCTAGACCCTATACCTTGGACCTGAAAATCTAGGAGCCCTAAACCCACAGCATTGCTCGCGAGGACATTTTTTCCTCACTCTCCACAAAGCCTGTCCAGCCGCAAGTGCCAAGCTATGCGGAGCTGCTGCGACATTTTTGCCGCAGCCCGAGGGCCGGTCACAGCCCGGCAGCAGGAGCCAGCCAAGGTTCGAGAGATCTTCTGAAGATCCTCTCCTTTGAAGCACCATGTGAGCCGGGGATGCAGCACATCTGCCAAAAGGCAGGCATGCAAGAAGAAATGCATCTTCGGGAGGTCTGCGAAGTAGTTTCCTTCAAAGTGTTCCCGCAGCTGTCGGTGCAGCTGGCAGAGCCCGAAAGCCAATTTCTTGAACTTCTCCGCATGGTCTGGAGGCATGGCCATCTCGGTCCTCGTAGCATGCAGGATCTTCTCGAGGGCTAGATTCACCTTCAAGTAGTTCTCGATCTTGAGGTGAATTTCGAGGTCTTTGTTCATGAAATTCTGCCAGCAGAGGAGTAGTGGTTCCCCCAGAGCCTGGATCTGCATGGCTCTCCCCTTGAGTTTCGGCGGGAGCTTCTTCCTCTGAAAAAGACTGAGCTTTCTCATGCCCCTGAACCTTTCCACGATTTTCAAGGCTTTGTAGGAGCTGAGCAGGTGCTCCCACACACATCGCAAATTCGCGAGAGGTGAGTCGGGCAACACGAAGTTGACGAGCAAGCTCAGCACACTCCCGAATCCCAGAGGATCCAGCCCCAAGTACTTCGTGTGCATGTAGTCCATGTGGCAACTGAGTGCAGAGCATACTCCGCTGTCGAACAGCGGGTTTTTCGGGCGGTCCGGAAAAGACCGCCACTCTGCCAAAGACCATTGCATGCTGAGCCATGGCGCTGTCGGTTTGCAATTCCTCCAGGAGGTGGAAGTCTCGTCGCCCGAGCATTTGCAAAGGCCGCACGGGTTGTGCTTTTGGCCAAAATGTGGCATGTTCAATCTTGAGACCATATACTCAAGATCGCCGACCAATGCCCAGATGACGCCTTTCCACCCCCCCGCCAAGGGCGATCCTGCCTTACGGCCCAGGTCGCTCGTGGGCGGGTACCTCTGACAGTGTGAAAGCTGACAGAAAAGTGTTACTTCGAACAGTCCATTGTCTGCCACCAAAAGTTGCTACTTAAAGTTTGTTGCTACTTAGAGCGAAGCTTTGCTTATGTGTGAGTAGACTTTGGATAGCACATCTTGCCTGTGACTCATGAAAGAGATTAGGATTCCATTTTGTTGCTTATAAGACAGAAAAACAAGAGGTTATCGCTAGTGTTTCGCTGCTACATAGAAACTTTCGTCCTTTACACATTCGACTTGGGCTTTTTACTTATAAAGAAAAGAAAAGGCATTCAGCTCTTATGCGACGTGTTTCTACTTCTGTTAGAAAGAGAATGAGTTTTATCCGATTTGACCCCAACCAGAAAGATAATGATGCAATCCCGGGTGCAGGTTGCCCTTGTGGTCTGCAAAGGGCCAAAGACCTTCTTGCAGCACCTTGAAGCTCCAGGCCAGCATGCTGAGGAAGGTAGTCGCTGCTGTGCCGTCATCTGTTTCATCGAAGAGGAAATAAATGGGCAGTTGCGAATCCTTGGTCCAGGCAGGACCACCAACCAGGCTACACCAGCTCCAGGTGGTTAACATTCGGCTCCATATCTTCCCGACACCTATTGCAGGTGTTCCATCGCCGTGTAAAGAAAGCGGCACGAACTTTCGAGGCTCAAAGGAAGCCTGGCTTACCACAGGGTGGTCTTTGAACTGCGGGTGCTTCTTCTGTAGCCGCCAGAACTCCTGCAAGACATTCGCATCGGCCACCACGTACCGCTTGAAAGCTTCGTGGTAATTCTCGTACAAGGCGGAGAACATCTCATGAGGCAGCATCATGAGCTGGGGCTGATTTCCCCAGGGCTGCTTGAACTGTAGAGCAGTCCGCTGCAAAGGCGGCAATCTGCAACCAACTTCTGTAATTTTCATGATCTCACGTCTCATGTTGTTAGGGTGGATGCCGCCTGAACCCAGCTTCGCCAGAGCTTGCAACTCCGTTGGGGCCTTTGCTCCACAATTCTCGAAGTCTTTGACAGCCTTCGCAGCCAGTGCCTGCATGGCCTGGACAGACAAATCGCCCCAAGACCATCTTTCCTTCAGGTCCTTGGCCAAAAAACTTTCAGAAACAGACGGCTGGTCCTGCTGAGCTTCGGCGGCGGCAAGTCGCTGTCTCTGACCCACCACTACTCGTCGTCTTTTGGGAGCAGCTTCTGCTTCGCCGTCCATGGCTGCAGGGAGGTGTCATTGCTACGTAGAGAGAAGGCCCTTTTTTGCTACTTATAGAGAACTCTGATTGAAGGGACGGGGCCCTTAGAAAGAGGAATAAATCTTCATGGGTGTGGTGCTTCGGTTTTCCTATAAACCTTGTCTAGCGGCCGTCTGTGGGGCCATTAAAGAGACCATTGTGTTACTCAGAAAACTGTGATTGCGGGGACGGGGCCCTTAGAAAGAGGAATAGATCTTCACGGGTGTTGTGCCTCGGTTTTCCTATAGACCTTGTGTAGCAGCCGTGCACCGGGAATCTGTGGGGCCATTAGAGAGACCGAAATGTGGATCTTCACCCAAGATTTGAGGGCCATTGGGCATTAGAAAAAGGAATACACAAATGGATGTTTCTGTTGTGAGCCTGCCTAGGTTTTTTCTACCGCAGGGCCAGAAAGAAGCTGTGCAAAGGAAAAGTTCACTGGGAGGTGGCTCCAGAGGGGTTTAGGCTGAAGACTTGCAAGATTCTGCACATCACCGGCTGCATGCTGCTGGTCCTCACACGAGTCGTGAGAGCTTTTTTGCGAGGAAGCCGCCTTCGTGGAACTATTCTCGGTGCCTGGGGCAGAGAGGGGCCCTAGCGCTCAGCAGCTGCACACCTGCACAAGGCCATGCAGAAAACCCGATGTCTATGGGCTCTGCTTCCCGGCGGCCGCAGGTGATTTGCTACTTAGAGCCGGGCCCTCTGGTGGGGCTTTGCTACTTAGAACAAGCCCGCAGGCAAGATAGAAGCCTCTGTCTGTGAAGCCCTGTGAGAGCCTACATCGTCTATGTCTAGCATTCTTACACATGAGAAGAAAACCTTTCAATTAAATGGGGGCATGAAGAAAACTTTTCAATTTTATAGGGACCTAGAAACACAGACAGAGGCAACACCTTGTCTGCAACACGGCCAAGAAAAGGAGCTCTTTCAGAGCTCCTTGCGGGTTTTCAACAAAGCCCGGAACTGCTCCACCTTCTCGTTCAAAGTCGTGACCGCAGCGGCCTGCTCCTTGACAAAGGCGGCGAAGGACTGCTCAGAGATGGCTTCTCCGGACGGCAGCTCATCCCAGGCGAGGGCATGCTCCTGCTTGTGGCTCCAGTCCTTAAGCTCGAGCAAAACCGCCTTGAAGTTCAAGCGATCCTCGTCACTCTTGCACTTCTGGGCCATTTTCATGCCCGTACCGTGAAGCTTGTCCACGGCTTCCTTCGCTTCCACCAGCACGGCCCGCTGCTTGTCAGAGAGCTTTCCAGACTCCAACATCTTCTGGGCCGCCTTGCTGCCGGAGGCGGAAGAGCTGGCCACATCGCAGATGGCATGGGAGCCGGCATCGTCGAAGTCGAAGGAAAGGTCGTCCAGGGCGGCACTCACCTCGCCGAAGGCGCCCTTGCTCAGCTTTTGCTCGCCGCCGTGGAGGTTGTGGTTGTCCGAGACCTTCTTCGCCATGCCACTCTTGAGTGTGCGGTAAGAGCACATCTCCACCCCGCCGACTGTCCAGCAGTCCACGGCACCCGTGTCGATGCCCTGCTGGAGTGCGGACTCGTTTCCGTGGTACGTCTCCCACAGAAACACGTGGCGAGGCTTTCCGAGTCGCTCGTCCTTGCCGTAGTTCTCGTGGCTCGCCGTCTTGGTGCTGCTGAAGACCGGGTCCTTGGGATTCATCACGAGCTGGCCGTTGCCATCCTTGACGAAGAGGGCATTGATCAGCTTGGACTTGCCGGAGCGGCTGGACGATTTTTCTATCGCCTCTTGTATGTGTGACGGGATTGCACCCGAGTCACACAACTTGCGATATTTTCTCGCCTTCACTTGGTCGCGGCCTTCGTCCTCGGTGGCGGACTGGGCCGCCCACCCCTTTGCCTTCTCGGCAAGGCTTTTGGAGGTTTTTCCACCCCCAGAGCCACCCCCCGGAGCCACCCCCGGACTTGTTCTCCTGGTTGTCTGTGGGGGCAGCCTTCGCTTTGGCCTTAGCCTTGGTTTTGGCTTTGGCCTTGGCCTTTCCCTTGGCCTTTGCTTTTGCCTTGGCCTTTCCCTTGGCCTTGGGCTTGGACGGTGCCTTTGGCTCCTCCTCGTCCGGCTCGAGGTTCTCCTCCTCCTCTGCACCCTCTGGGTCTGCTTGGTCCGCCTCCTTGTCCGCCTCCTCCTCGTGCTTCTCGGCCGGGTCGTCTTCTTGCTCCACACCTGGCACCACTTCCAAAGCCTCGGTCACCTCTGGCGGCAGAGTGGCTGCCTTCTTTGCAGCAGGCTTCTTCATGACCCCCATTGAGGCCACGGCTACGGTGCTACAGCTCGCTGCTGTGTTGAGCACCCAAAAGCTGCATCGCATGTTCGGATGGGCAGGGTCCCTGCCATGTGTCAGAGCTTAAAGGTCTCTTCTGTCTGTTACTTTATTTTATAGCAAGCACACTACAAAGTGCAACCTGGAAAAGGAAAGCTCGAAGCATAGAATTTTGTTACGAAGCTTTGTTTGGTAACTTAGCAAATTTCCTTGCTACCTAGATTTTCTCTGTGACTTAGATTGCCTTATTTTTATTAGGAAGCACACTACACAGTGCAACCTGGAAAAGGAAATCTCGAAACATAGAAGTTTGTTACGAAGCTTTGTTTGGTAACTTAGAAAATTTCCTTGCTACCTAGATTTTCTCTGTGACTTAGATTGCCTCGTGTCCTAGTTGTGACATAGTTATGTGCTGCTATATGCTAGAGGAAGCTGCTTATTCTTTCTGCTACCTAGTTTTGATATGTGACATAGATTCGGTTCGAAGTTCCAAGATGTGACTTAGATACTAGATTTTCGCTGTGAGATAAGTGTCGTCTTGTTGTGACTTAGTTCTACTGCAATTTGCTAGATAGAACTTTATTTTCTGCTCGTTACTTAGCCTTGTTATGAGACTTAGATTCGGTTTCAAGTTGCTAGATGTGACTTAGATGTACTGAAACTTCCGTTTAGCTTGCTACATAGTTTTGGTTGATACTTGGGGTGGGTTACTTCTGGATCCTTTGTACCTAAAATTCGTTGTACGTAGATTTGTGACTTAGCAACATCTGCTACTTAGATTTCTTGCATGTTTGTAACATAAGACTAAATAGTTTCACGTAGCAAACTTCTAAAAGGTACCCGGGTCAGCTAGGTGCGGGTTTGCGAGGGTGGGTTAAGGAGTCTGGCTTTGTGGGCTTAAGCTTGCAGGTCCAGGGGTTTAGGGGTTCGTGCTTTCTGGGGGTTTGGGGTTGTATTGGTAGCTCTTTGGGAGACATATTTGATGGTGTAAGCTTGGGGGATTTTGGGGTTGAAGGTCGGTGGTTTCAGGGGGCTTCGGGTTCCGGGGCAGAGTGTTTATTGTGGCTTTGGGATTTATGCGGGTCAAAGCTCTTTAGCATTTTATATAGGTGTTGGGGTTCTGTGGGTGTTGGCCTGCGGGGGAGAAGGGGGTTTATAGGGGTTTTGGGCTTTGGGGCTCCAGGGCTTTGGGTTTTGGGTTTAGGTTTGGGGGTTAGGGTTTAGGGGCTTATAGGGTTAGGGGGGTTTAAGGGTTTAGGGCTAAGTTCAGGGGTTTAGGGGCACGGTTTAGGGTTTAGGGTTCAGCTTCTGGTCTTTCTGGGGGTTTGGGTTACATGTAAACATACCAGCACCCACACAGACACTTGTGTATATATACATACACATACAGACATATATATATATATATGTCTGTATATACATAGTGTGTATGTTACAATGTGTTCTAGCTATGTATAGATACATAGACATATCTGCATTTATGTATTTATATATATAGACATGTATACATACATAAAGTTTCCATAACCTATGTATATTCGATGTATTGTTTATGTTTTGTAAAAGCGCCTTTTTTAGGGGACCAGGGCTTTTAAGCAAAATGGGCTTGATAAGTTGATTTATAGCTTTAAATACATCTAAAGTTTCCATATTGTTCTTACAAAAACATCGATCCATTTGTTCAGAACAATCTATATTTTTTCCTTAAAAACTTGGTAGATTTTTGTTAAAATTTTGGTAGATTTTTTAAAAAATTTGGTATATTTTTTAAAAAATTTGGTAGATTTTTTTAAAAATTTTTACATTTTTTTAAAATTTTTTATATTTTTTTTAAAATTTTTATAGATTTTCAGCAAAATGGCGATCCAGTTTGAGTCCAGTTTGAGTCCAGTTTGAGTCCAGTTTCATACAAACTGGATCGCCATGGTTGAGTTTCATATGAAACTCAACCACCATGGTTTAGTTTCATATGAAACTCAACCATGGCGATCCAGTTTGTATGAAACCGGACTCAAACTGGACTCAAACTGGACTCAAACTGGATCGCCATTTTGTTGAAAATCTATAAAAATTTTAACAAAAAATATAAAAATTTTTAAAAAAATATAAAAATTTTTAAAAAAATCTACCAAATTTTTTAAAAAATCTACCAAAATTTGAAAAAAATCTACCAAAATTTGAAAAGAATCCAGCAACATTTTAAAAACAAATCTAACAAAATCTTTCAAAAATGCATATCCAAACTTTAAAGAATTACATACCTTTTTGTAAAAACCTATACCGGTCTTCTTAAAAATGTATATGAATAAACTGAAACATGTTAATGCATTGAAAAATAACATTAACATAATGGTTGCAACTGGACCTTAGTAAAACTACAATATAAAACAAAACACAAAAAAATCACAAGTATCTGAAAAATCTTCACATAGAATAATGTGTTGGTTTGAAAAGAGTGTAGCAAAACTATACTTCACAGTTCATGTGTATTGTGAAAAGAACATATTGAAGACGGAAAGGAATAATTATGAACCTCAAAACAATATATACGTATCCAATACAAAAAAAACGCTGTGTCCGTGTGGGTGCCTGCATGTCTACCCCTCAACCCCAAACCCTAAGCCCCTGAACCTCTAGACACCTTGAACTTTAAACCCCAAACCCTAAGGCCCGAAACCCTAACTTAACCACCGAACCCGAACCCCAAACCCTAAACCCTGGAACCCCTAAACCCCTGAACCCCAAACCCTAAGCCCCTAAACCCCTAGACACGTTACCCCAAACCCTAAATCCAGAAACTTCGACAGAAGCCCTGACCGGAGCAACCGCCCAAGCCCCCCAAAACCCGCAACCCTGGAAAACCCTTCTGCTCGGCCGCCCGTTTTGGCACCACAGCGGAGGCAGAGGTAAGAAGATCCGAGAGCCCCTCAGAATGCGACCTGGGAGCTTTGTTCTTGGTTCGGGTTGCTACCTAGCTTTGCCTAGAGATGCTACCTAAATGTACGTGCGACTAGACTATTTTTCTGCTACCTAGAGCTTTTTTTTTGTTACCTAGTTTTGTTCTGCTACCTAGAGTTTTTGCTACTTAATTTTTTCTGCTACTTAGATTTTTTTGTTACCTAGATTTTTTGTGCTAGGTAGAGTTTTTGCTACCTAGTTTTGATGCTACCTAGGAATTTGTTACTTAGAAGACACGTGACTTAGATTGCATTACACCTGCTACTTATTTAAATGCTGTACACTGCAACTTAGAGCTGGCCTCTGCCTCCTTCTTTTTCTTTTTCTTTTTTTCCTTCTTTTTCTTCTTGGAAGACTTTCGGAAGACAGCCTGCACGGGAAGTTTGGCGGTGCACTGAGTCTCGTGGCTCTGTGTCCCCCGCCTGCTTTCTTCTCTAATCTCCATCCTTTCTTTCCTTCTTTCTTCCCTTTCGCTCCTGCAGGATAAAGCTACAAGTATATGCGACTTAGAATCCCCAGGCCCGGAAGTTTTCTCCTCGTGGCCAGCTGGATCATCTCCTCCTCTCTTTCCAGACTTTTCTTTCTTCTCCTTCCTCTCCTTGCTTTTGCCCTTCTTGTGGCGTTTCTCCTTCTTTTCCTTTTTTTCCTTTTCCTTTTCCTTTTCCTCTTTTCTTCGGCGCTTTCGCCTCTCCTCCTCCTCTGCTCTGCGGAGTCTTTTCTGCTCCTTGGCTCTTTCCTTCTCCTTGAGCCTTCTTTTTTGCTCCGCTTCTGCTCGGAGGAGAGCTTCACCTCTCCTCCGAGCAGCCAGAAGAGTGGCTGCTCTGGCCCCCTCCGGCTCGATGACCTCGTCATCCTCTTCGCTTTCCGACTCCTCCTGCTCGTCAGACGAGGTAGTCGAGGGTGCCCTTGGAGGGTCCTTCGAAGAGCCAGCCCCCTTCGAAGAGCCAGCCCTGGCCTGCTGCCTCCTCTGCCAGGGCAGCATCCCTTTCACCTCAGTTGAGAGGGAGGTTTGCTAGGTAGAATTTGCTACCTAGAGACTTTGCTGCCTAGAGTCCTGTTACTTAGACTTTGCTACCTAGGGTTTTTGCTACCTAGAGTCCTGTTACTTAGAATTTGCTACCTAGGGTTTTTGCTACCTAGAGTCCTGTTACTTAGAATTTGCTACCTAGGGTTTTTGCTACCTAGAGTCCTGTGACTTAGAATGTGCTACCTAGTGGATTCCGCTACGTAGAGAAGCATGTTACCTATCCAGTCTTTTTGCTACCTATAGAGCCTTGTTACCGAGAGGCTCTCTTAGAACTATATTTCTTGCCAAGTGGCCGCCAGCGACTTGCTAGCAGCAGTGGCATTCGCCAGCTGCTGCTGCACGGAGCCTCGAGGGCGAGGTGGAGGTCGTGGGCTCCGTAGGCCAGGATCCCGGCATGGCCTCTGCTCGTAGACCTCCTGCCACGGATGCTCCCCTGCTGCTGCTGCTGCTGGTGCTGAGCTTGCTGCTGGCTCTGCTGCTGCACTGGCCGCTGGGCTTGCTGCTGGACTGGCCGCTGGGCTTGCTGCTGCCTTTGGGCTTGCTGCTGCCTTTGGGCTTGCTGCTGCCTTTGGGCTTGCTGCTGCCTTTGGGCTTGCTGCTGCCTTTGCTGCTGCCTTTGGGCTTGCTGCTGGGCTTGGGCTTGCCGCTGGGCTTGCTGCCGGGCTTGCCCTTGGCCTTGCTGCTGCTGGCTCCTCAGCAGGACTTGTTGGAGTCCGAGGTGCTGCTGCTGGTGCAGCTGGAACAGCAGCCTCCTCTGCTGGTGCTGCTGGTGCTGCAGCTTTCGGAACAGCAGCCTCCTCTGCTGCTGGTGCTGCTGGTGCTGCAGCTTTCGGAGCAGCCGCCTCCTCTGCAGGTGCTGCTGCTGGTGCTGCTGCAGCTTTGGCCTCTGCAGCTGCTTTCGGAGCAGCAGCCTCCTCTGCAGCTGCTGCTGGTGCTGCTGCAGCTTTCGCCTTTGCTGCTGCTTTCGGAGCAGCAGCCTCCTCTGCAGCTGCTGCTGGTGCTGCTGCAGCTTTCGCCTTTGCTGCTGCTTTGGGAACAGCAGCAGCCTCCTCCTCTGCTGCTGCTGGTGCTGCTGCAGCTTTCGGAGCTGCAGCTTTCGGTGCTGCTGCCGCTTTGCCCTGGCCTTTGCCCTGCCAGGGTCGTTTGCTGACCCGGTAGCCAGCCACACCTGCAGGCAAAGCTGTCACGGCTTCTTCGGCTTCCTCCTGCGAGCTGTAGATGACATAGCCAAATGTCAGCGAGTGGCCACTCGGAGCCACCTCCGCATACACCGGCCACGTAGTGCTGCAGCACCAGTGGTACAGCTCCTCCGACGACAGCCAGGAGGGAAGGCCGCCGAGCCAGACCGTGCGGTCTGGCGGCAGGTTGGCCATGGCTATGGCTCTCGTGAGATGCTACCTAGAGAAGCATGCTACTTAGAACTTTGGCCTAGTTAGTTAGTGTGTGTGTGTGTGTAACTAAGCAAGTAAGTGTGTGTGTGTGTGTGTGTGTGTGTGTGTGTGTCTGCAGTTGTCCGTGTGTCTGTGTCTGTGTTTCTGTCGGTGTTTCCGTGTGTGTCTCAGTGTGTCTGTGTGTGTGTGTGCCTCTGCTTGTCCGTCTGTTGGAAAGTGGCTGCAAGTGTGCCTGTGTGCTGGTCCTACACAGCGGCCACGTGTTTGGCCTGTCGGGGGAAGGAGAACCGCTGAGTGGAGACTACTGTGTGTGTGGTGCTTCTGTGAGAAGAAACCTAGAACCTTCAACCTTAAACCCTAAATCAGGGGTCCCTGTGTGCTAGTGTCTGCAGTGTGCTCTTTCTACCGAGTGCTGTGTTTGCCCTGCTTCAGTTTTGTGAGGTCTCTGTCGTGGCTGCTGTGCCTCTCTCCTCTCTGGGTTCTCCTCCTGCGAGCCATCGGAGCGAGCGACGGCCGAAAAGTTCTTCGGGCTCTGGGCTGCAGAAGGGCTTCAGGTTAGGGGAAAACCTGGCTTGCTTCCTAGCGCCTTTGTGCTGCCTAAATGGATTGCGACCTAAAAGATGTAAGTTAAATTTCGAGATGGATTGCGACCTAGAATAAAAGCTGTTACTTAGATTTTTGCTACCTAGATGGATTGCGACCTAGCAAAAGCATTGCGACCTAGAAAAAGCTGCTACTTAGATTTATGCTACCTAGATGGATTGCGACCTAGCACAAGCATTGCGACCTAGAAAAAACTGCTACTTAGATTTTTGCTACCTAGATGGATTGCGACCTAGCAAAAGCATTGCGACCTAGAAAAAGCTGCTACTTAGAATTTTGCTACCTAAATGGATTACGACCTAGATAAAGCTGTTACTTGGATTTTGGCTTCCTAGATGGTTGGTGGGCTAGATAAAGCTGCTACTTAGATTTATATGGCTACATAAATGGATTCTGACCTAGATAGAGCTGTTACTTAAGTTTTTGCTACCGACATGGATTGGGACGTCGACAAAAAGCTGGTACTTAGATTTTGTGCTACATAGAGATCCTACATTTTGGAACCGCTGGGGCCTGCTGCATAATCGGATTCGGCGCCTTTTTTAAAGCTGCCTCCTAAATCCTAGGGACTATATGTAGCAACCGAGCCTGCCAATCAGGTGTATTATATGTGACTTATAGAGGTGCTTCTTGTGTGCCTTCGAAGTAAAAACTATCTCCATTACACGTCGCTGTGCTACTTTTTTGGTGTTTCATGCTATATCAGAACATCTATTGCCAAACCACAAGTGTGAAGAAAAACTAAGGACCCTGAGCTTTTGGGAAAACCCGAACAATTAATCCTGCCCGCCAAAAAGACTTCTATTTTTTTCCTCGCCACCCAGAGGTTTCAGTCAGTCTCGACGAGCTTGCCAGAATCGATGAGGGCGGCCACTTCCCGCATCTTCTCTCTGGCTTTCTTTTTCGCTGACTGCGGAGACAAGCCCAGTCGCTCTTGAAGGCACTTTTCCCGGTGGTAGGCCTGGCTCGTTTTTCTGTGCTTGAAGGTAGTTTTAAACTTCTTTTTCTCTCCCTCCTCGGTGGCAGCCTCCTCCGTTTTCGGCGCTTTTTTGGTCTTTTTCTTTGTAGCAGCAGCTGGTTTCTTGAAAGCAGCAGCTGGTTTCTTCAAGGCCCTCTTCTTCGTAGGCGAAGACACCAAAGCTTCATCTACGGCCTTCGCCGCCTCACTGTCCAGCACGTCGGACAAGGCCGCCTCCCGAGGCGAAGCCTGCTTCCGAGGCGAAGCCTGGTTCTTCCGAGGAGAACAAAGAGCTCGCACACGAAAAGGCTGCGAAGCTCGAAGCCTTTTGCTCGGCGAAGCTTTAGGCGGGTCTGCTCGAAACTCAGATTCCTCGCTGCCCTTTTTCGCGAGGATTCTACTGAAGACCGAGCTGCCTGCTGCCTGGTCCTTTGGCGGCTGCCACAGTACCAAAGCCGTGGAGGCAGAAGCTGAGGAAGTCGAAGGTTGGCTCGCCTCGGCTTTCTGAGTTTTTTTCGCACTTGCAGGGTCCTGCAAGAAGGTCAGCAACTTGTCCAGACCTTCCTTTTCCTCCAAGCTGGCTTTCCTCATTGCCGGGAAATACTTATCGTCCTTCTTCAAGTCCCGAAGTTGCGACATCAGGACACGGACCCTCTGGTCGATGCCATCCGTGTAAGTTTCCACGTCCATGCCGTGTTTGGACATCCTCAGCTCCGGGGTCTCGAGGCATCGGCGAACTGCAGCTCGGAGTTTGACACTCGGGAGAACGGCATTCGGAGCGACCCCAAGCAGGTCCTGTAGCAAGTAGCGGCTCTGGTAAAGCCATTCGACATTGATGGCTGTCTTCCATGACCATTGAGCCCCACGGGGACATTGCACCGTGTGCCAAAGGTCAGCCCGTCGGACTTGCTCCCTGAAGCACCTCTGCAGGTCCCCCACAGCTATCAGGGGGTCGCACTTCAGACGGGTATCCATGGCAGCCATGGCAGAGTTCAGCAGCAAAATGCTGCTTTTTTTCTTTTTCTGCTACCTAGAAACCTTTGCATGCGTTTTTCTTTCCAACATCTCGACTGTGGAAGTGCAAAGCAAAACCTCAAGCCTGCTCTATGCTACCCCTCTAAACTTAGGGTTTATAAGGTTTAGGGTTTAGGGGTTTAGGGTTTGTAGGGTTTAGGGTTGCAAAACTGGGCCGATCCGGAGTCCCTGCACCATGCCGTGGTACTATGGGTGGATCTACGAGAGCGAAGATTGTTGGGAGGATTGGAAGAGTCCAGAGCCCAAAACAACCAGTGATGCCTCTGACTATGACTCGTGCGATGATTGGTGGGATCCCGACGACTGTGTACAGCAAACCCGGTCGAAGCTGGTGAACAGTCGATGTCGCTGTGCTTTTCTGAGAAAATCACTGCGAAAGAGATGGATCCTGAAGCACCGAACCCGTACGGTCAATATAATTCGCATCGCAAACACTTCTTGCTGCCAACCATCGTTCCGGTTGCACAACACAGGACACTGGAGAAATCTTCCCAGGAAGAGCTTAAAAAGATCGATGCTGTTGTCGTTTCCTGCCTGCTGTGGGATCTTGGATTGTTCAAAGACGGCTGGAATTTGCTCCAAAGCTTCCATGTATTCTTTCGCAAACAAGCGGTCGAGGCCTCTCTTGCAGTTGTTTCTGAGTTCCCTAAAAAGATTCCTTCAACCACAAGCAAAGGTCTGCCACTTAGAAAAATATGTCAATTTCAATGTTCTATGCAAAAATCTATCAAACTGGATGCTAGTTTGACAAACACAGTAAGCAATTTCTAAGCTATATTCTACAGTAGGAAATAGGCTATTTCAGATATAACCTATAAAATAACCTATAGAATAACCGGAAGAATAACCTATAGTTTATTTATATAAATAACCTATATAGGTTATTTTTGCCAAATAGGATATATGTCCCAAAATAGCCTAACCTGATCTTAGAGGTACCGTGCTAAGTTGCTCACAGCCACCCGCTTGGGATGGTAACGTAATCGTGTCCCCAAGTACCGTGCTAAGTTGCCCACAGCCACCCGCTTGGGATGGTAACGTAATCGTGTCCCCAAGTACCGTGCTAAGTTGCTCACAGCCACCCGCTTGGGATGGTAACGTAATCGTGTCCCCAAGTACCGTGCTAAGTTGCTCACAGCCACCCGCTTGGGATGGTAACGTAATCGTGTCCCCAAGTACCGTGCTAAGTTGCTCACAGCCACCCGCTTGGGATGGTAACGTAATCGTGTCCCCAAGTACCGTGCTAAGTTGCTCACAGCCACCCGCTTGGGATGGTAACGTAATCGTGTCCCCAAGTACCGTGCTAAGTTGCTCACAGCCACCAGCTTGGGATGGTAACGTAATCGTGTCCCCAAGTACCGTGCTAAGTTGCCCACAGCCACCAGCTTGGGATGGTAACGTAATCGTGTCCCCAAGTACCGTGCTAAGTTGCCCACAGCCACCAGCTTGGGATGGTAACGTAATCGTGTCCCCAAGTACCGTGCTAAGTTGCTCACAGCCACCCGCTTGGGATGGTAACGTAATCGTGTCCCCAAGTACCGTGCTAAGTTGCTCACAGCCACCCGCTTGGGATGGTAACGTAATCTGTCCCCAAGTACCGTGCTAAGTTGCTCACAGCCACCAGCTTGGGATGGTAACGTAATCGTGTCCCCAAGTACCGTGCTAAGTTGCCCACAGCCACCAGCTTGGGATGGTAACGTAATCGTGTCCCCAAGTACCGTGCTAAGTTGCTCCTACCCCCAGCTTGGGATGGTAACGTAATCGTGTCCCCAAGTACCGTGCTAAGTTGCTCACAGCCACTCAGCTTGGGATGGTAACGTAATCGTGTCCCCAAGTACCGTGCTAAGTTGCCCACAGCCACCAGTTTGGGATGGTAACGTAATCGTGTCCCCAAGTACCGTGCTAAGTTGCCCACAGCCACCAGCTTGGGATGGTAACGTAATCGTGTCCCCAAGTACCGTGCTAAGTTGCTCACAGCCACCAGCTTGGGATGGTAACGTAATCGTGTCCCCAAGTACCGTGCTAAGTTGCTCACAGCCACCAGCTTGGGATGGTAACGTAATCGTGTCCCCAAGTACCGTGCTAAGTTGCTCACAGCCACCCGCTTGGGATGGTAACGTAATCGTGTCCCCAAGTACCGTGCTAAGTTGCTCACAGCCACCCGCTTGGGATGGTAACGTAATCGTGTCCCCAAGTACCGTGCTAAGTTGCTCACAGCCACCCGCTTGGGATGGTAACGTAATCGTGTCCCCAAGTACCGTGCTAAGTTGCTCACAGCCACCCGCTTGGGATGGTAACGTAATCGTGTCCCCAAGTACCGTGCTAAGTTGCCCACAGCCACCTGCTTGGGATGGTAACGTAATCGTGTCCCCAAGTACCGTGCTAAGTTGCTCACAGCCACCAGCTTGGGATGGTAACGTAATCGTGTCCCCAAGTACCGTGCTAAGTTGCTCACAGCCACCCGCTTGGGATGGTAACGTAATCGTGTCCCCAAGTACCGTGCTAAGTTGCTCACAGCCACCAGCTTGGGATGGTAACGTAATCGTGTCCCCAAGTACCGTGCTAAGTTGCCCACAGCCACCCGCTTGGGATGGTAACGTAATCGTGTCCCCAAGTACCGTGCTAAGTTGCCCACAGCCACCCGCTTGGGATGGTAACGTAATCGTGTCCCCAAGTACCGTGCTAAGTTGCTCACAGCCACCAGCTTGGGATGGTAACGTAATCGTGTCCCCAAGTACCGTGCTAAGTTGCTCACAGCCACCAGCTTGGGATGGTAACGTAATCGTGTCCCCAAGTACCGTGCTAAGTTGCTCACAGCCACCAGCTTGGGATGGTAACGTAATCGTGTCCCCAAGTACCGTCGCTAAGTTGCTCACAGCCACCAGCTTGGGATGGTAACGTAATCGTGTCCCCAAGTACCGTGCTAAGTTGCTCACAGCCACCAGCTTGGGATGGTAACGTAATCGTGTCCCCAAGTACCGTGCTAAGTTGCCCACAGCCACCAGCTTGGGATGGAACAAACGTGTCCCCCAAGTACCGTGCTACGTTGCTCACATCCAACCCGCTTGGGATGGGTCCCGCAAATCGTGTCCCCAAGTACCCGTTCAGTTGCTCACAGCACCAGCTTTGGATGGGTAACTAATCGTGTCCCCCAAGTACCGGCGAAGTTGCCCACAGCCACCGCTTGGGAATGGTAACGTAATCGTGTCCCCAATACCGTGCTAAGTTTGCCACACCACCATCTGGGATGGTAACGTAATCGTGTCCCCCAAGTACCGTGCTAAGTTGCTCACAGCCACCCGCTTGGGATGGTAACGTAATCGTGTCCCCAAGTACCGTGCTAAGTTGCTCACAGCCACCAGCTTGGGATGGTAACGTAATCGTGTCCCCAAGTACCGTGCTAAGTTGCTCACAGCCACCCGCTTGGGATGGTATAACGTAATCGTGTCCCCAAGTACCGTGCTAAGTTGCTCACAGCCACCCGCTTGGGATGGTAACGTAATCGTGTCCCCAAGTACCGTGCTAAGTTGCTCACAGCCACCCGCTTGGGATGGTAACGTAATCGTGTCCCCAAGTACCGTGCTACGTTGCTCACAGCCACCCGCTTGGGATGGTAACGTAATCGTGTCCCCAAGTACCGTGCTAAGTTGCTCACAGCCACCAGCTTGGGATGGTAACGTAATCGTGTCCCCAAGTACCGTGCTAAGTTGCTCACAGCCACCAGCTTGGGATGGTAACGTAATCGTGTCCCCAATACCGTGCTAAGTTGCTCGGCAGCCCCAGCTTGGGATGTAACGTAATCGTGTCCCCAAGTACCGTTGTGCTAGTTTTCAACAGCCCCACTTGGGATGGTAACTAAATCGTGTACCCCACTAACCCGTTGCTAAGTTGTCACCAGCCCCAGCTTGGGATGGTAACGTAATCGTGTCCCCAAGTAAACCGTTGTGCTAAGTTGCTCAGACAGCCAACCAGCTTGGGATGGTAACGTATCGTGTCCCCAAGTACCGTTGCAAGTTGTTCACACCACCATCTGGGAATGGTAACGTGATCTGTCCCAAGTAACCGTTGCTAAGTTTCTCACAGCCACAGTCTTGGATGGTGACGTATCGTGTTCCCCAATAACCCGGGTTGCTAAGACTGCTCACAGCCCACCAGCTTGGGATGGTAACGTAATCGTGTCCCCAAGTACCGTGCTAAGTTGCTCACAGCCACCCGCTTGGGATGGTAACGTAATCGTGTCCCCAAGTACCGTGCTAAGTTGCTCACAGCCACCAGCTTGGGATGGTAACGTTAATCGGCCCCAAGTACCGTTGCTAAGTTGCTCACAGCCAGCCAGCTTGGGATGGTAACGTAATCGTGTCCCCAAGTACCGTTGCTAAGTTGCTCCAGCCAGCTTGGGATGGTAACGTAAGTACCGTTGCTCTCACAGCCACCAGCTTGGGATGGTAACGTAATCGTGTCCCCAAGTACCGTTGCTAAGTTGCTCACAGCCACCAGCTTGGGATGGTAACGTAATCGTGTCCCCAAGTACCGTTGCTAAGTTGCTCACAGCCACCAGCTTGGGATGGTAACGTAATCGTGTCCCCAAGTACCGTTGCTAAGTTGCTCACAGCCACCAGCTTGGGATGGTAACGTAATCGTGTCCCCAAGTACCGTTGCTAAGTTGCTCACAGCCACCAGCTTGGGATGGTAACGTAATCGTGTCCCCAAGTACCGTTGCTAAGTTGCTCACAGCCACCAGCTTGGGATGGTAACGTAATCGTGTCCCCAAGTACCGTGCTAAGTTGCTCACAGCCACCCGCTTGGGATGGTAACGTAATCGTGTCCCCAAGTACCGTGCTAAGTTGCTCACAGCCCAGCTTGGGATGGTAACGTATCGCTTGTGCTAAGTTGCTCATTGGGATGGTAACGTAATCGTGTAAGTTGCTCACAGCACCAGCTTGGGATGGTAACGTAATCGTGTCCCCAAGTAAGTTGCCACAGCCACCGCTTGCTCACAGTACAGCGCTTGGGATGGTAACGTAATCGTGTCCCCAAGTACCGTGCTAAGTTGCTCACAGCCACCAGCTTGGGATGGTAACGTAATCGTGTCCCCAAGTACCGTGCTAAGTTGCTCACAGCCACCAGCTTGGGATGGTAACGTAATCGTGTCCCCAAGTACCGTGCTAAGTTGCTCACAGCCACCCGCTTGGGATGGTAACGTAATCGTGTCCCCAAGTACCGTGCTAAGTTGCTCACAGCCACCAGCTTGGGATGGTAACGTAATCGTGTCCCCAAGTACCGTGCTAAGTTGCTCACAGCCACCAGCTTGGGATGGTAACGTAATCGTGTCCCCAAGTACCGTGCTAAGTTGCTCACAGCCACCAGCTTGGGATGGTAACGTAATCGTGTCCCCAAGTACCGTTGCTAAGTTGCTCACAGCCACCAGCTTGGGATGGTAACGTAATCGTGTCCCCAAGTACCGTTGCTAAGTTGCTCACAGCCACCAGCTTGGGATGGTAACGTAATCGTGTCCCCAAGTACCGTGCTAAGTTGCTCACAGCCACCAGCTTGGGATGGTAACGTAATCGTGTCCCCAAGTACGTTGCTAAGTTGCTCACAGCCACCAGCTTGGGATGGTAACGTAATCGTGTCCCCAAGTACCGTTGCTAAGTTGCTCACAGCCACCAGCTTGGGATGGTAACGTAATCGTGTCCCCAAGTACCGTTGCTAAGTTGCTCACAGCCACCAGCTTGGGATGGTAACGTAATCGTGTCCCCAAGTACCGTTGCTAAGTTGCTCACAGCCACCAGCTTGGGATGGTAACGTAATCGTGTCCCCAAGTACCGTTGCTAAGTTGCTCACAGCCACCAGCTTGGGATGGTAACGTAATCGTGTCCCCAAGTACCGTTGCTAAGTTGCTCACAGCCACCAGCTTGGGATGGTAACGTAATCGTGTCCCCAAGTACCGTTGCTAAGTTGCTCACAGCCACCAGCTTGGGATGGTAACGTAATCGTGTCCCCAAGTACCGTGCTAAGTTGCTCACAGCCACCCGCTTGGGATGGTAACGTAATCGTGTCCCCAAGTACCGTTGCTAAGTTGCTCACAGCCACCAGCTTGGGATGGTAACGTAATCGTGTCCCCAAGTACCGTGCTAAGTTGCTCACAGCCACCAGCTTGGGATGGTAACGTAATCGTGTCCCCAAGTACCGTGCTAAGTTGCTCACAGCCACCAGCTTGGGATGGTAACGTAATCGTGTCCCCAAGTACCGTTGCTAAGTTGCTCACAGCCACCAGCTTGGGATGGTAACGTAATCGTGTCCCCAAGTACCGTTGCTAAGTTGCTCACAGCCACCAGCTTGGGATGGTAACGTAATCGTGTCCCCAAGTACCGTTGCTAAGTTGCTCACAGCCACCAGCTTGGGATGGTAACGTAATCGTGTCCCCAAGTACCGTTGCTAAGTTGCTCACAGCCACCAGCTTGGGATGGTAACGTAATCGTGTCCCCAAGTACCGTTGCTAAGTTGCTCACAGCCACCAGCTTGGGATGGTAACGTAATCGTGTCCCCAAGTACCGTTGCTAAAACATGTTGCCACAGTAACGACACCTCCAAATCCTGGAAGCAACACCGAAGAATGAGGACTCGGCTCTGAGAGCTCTTAATCACGAGGCGGGCAGACATCTTTGCCAAGAGTGGAAAAAACAGGACACATTGTCCTGAGAAGTTCCTTGGAGCACGGCCCAGGCCCAGCAAAACTGCAAGATGCAAGTTTGTCTTTATCTACAATCTGCAGGTGTGCATATCATACAGAAACGCATATGTGCATGATGCACACATACATACCTACCTGGACCTACCTACCTACCTACCTACAAAGGTATGTGCGCATGTAGACATACACGCATACATCTGTATGCATCCAAGCATGCATAGTTAATCGTCTGCACATTCCCTAGATCCTTTGGACATGCCTGAACGCTGCAACATGTCACCCCCTACAGTACTTATTGTGTAGGCCTGCATTAATCCCCAAACTCTCGTAACCATGAAGACCCTGATAACCCTGATAACCCTATAACCCTGATAACTAAACCCAAGAAGCCTAATGGCCATCATGACCATACACACCCTCAAAGCCTGAAAACCAACCTAGCCCTAATCACTAACCATACTAGTTTCCCTGATAATCCCTTGGAGGCTTTGCTCTTGAAACTTACGAGACGGGCGTGTGTGGTGTGGAGTTTAGTATAAGGGCCCTGGAGATTAGAAGAACGGTTCTGGACTTGGCGGCTTTTTTCGACTTGTGGGCCCATGCTGCATGCCCCTGCGCTGCAACGGTGCAACTCTATGCATCTATCCGTCTTTCTATCTTTCTATGTTCCCATCTTCCGATCTTTTCTGACCTTTCGGTCTTCCTATCTTTCCGTCTATCTATACATGCAAGGATCTTTGGGTATACATCGTCGCAAATCGCAAATCGGTATAGACGAAAGATTCGCCCTTTTAGGTGCCCCTGCACACACACGATGAGGCCAGGGCGAGACACATGTCGGCGCAATGTTCAAGACGCCTCTAGGGACCGTGCTCCGTTCAAGTCTCTTGGGAGTGCGGTGGAGCGAAGGGTTCTTACTTTTAGGGCTTTCTCAAAGCTCTAAGCATGTCCTGACACGTGTGGAACGCACATTCTCGCAGTGTCCTTGTGCCGCAAGCGCCGGGCAGGTGCCCATCGACCATCTTTCGAATGCCTCAGACACCGTCCCCGGCCGGGACATTCACCAAGGGAAGGGCCGCTTTGGATTGAATCTCGCGGGTGAAAGCTCGCAGTCTGCGGTTCCTCTGTGATCTGGCTCCCATCTGCCCCACAAACTCAACACCATTCTTAGATGCAAATGAAGGGGAGCCTATGCAATCACAAAAAAGTCTGTGTATGTGTATGTATGCATTGCACACATACAAATCACATACACATACATGTACATGTACTTCTACACATACAGATGCACGTGCATATATACAGTACATATACACATATACATATGTACAGTACATGTAGTTGCACATACACACATACATACATATTCATACTAATAGGCATGTACATACACATATATACATTTGTACATATATACATATCCATATGCATTCATGTGCATGTGCTCATGTGTATATGCACAGCTGATAGCCTTATATAGCGCTGTGCAGGCCCAAAGCTCGAAGCTGAAGACCGCGGAGCCCTAATCACGAACCCCAGGTGAAGGCTCCGGCTGACCGACTTGAACGACTTCGTGTCAATGCCGTACATCCTGACAGGCACGGTTCGTAGGGACCCTTATGGGGGTAAGGGGTAGGGGGGCCTTAATACCCCTAATAAGCACCTGATGATGGTGGCGATGAAGAAGACATGAAAATACCCAATACGTCCGTCATCATCGTCGTCACAAGCCTCAATACCAGTTTTGCTAGCACCACCACGAATGCCATCGCCATCTCATGGAAAAGGACAGCATCATCGTCATCATCAGTGCCCTCAAGATGTGCATCAATGTTGACTAGACGAATTCAATACCAGCCTCCGTATCATTACGATTCACTACGAGTGCCAGCGTTTTCATTCACATTGAGGACACATTGGCAAACATCATCATCAAGAACAGCAGCAGTGTCAGCTAAACATCATCACCTCCGTTATCAATCGACGCCATCATGGTAATCGTCGCTAAATTCACTGACCAATGGCGCGTGCATGGCAGAGATACTGGCTGCGCCCAGGCAACAGAATTTGCATCAACCTTTGAACCCCAACGCTTTCGGTCCACGCACCGTGGCTTCCAATCGGACTAAGAGCCGGGCCAAAATTCCAGAGATTTGCCTGGTAGCTTTGTCATCGCCAGGACAACCTGATGCTAGGCCGGATTGCGCTCGCCAAATACGTCTGGTCAGAACCTCTGCCTGCAGATTTCAGCTCAGGTTCAAACTCCGGAGCCGGAACCAATAGAAAGGCTATCACTACGGTGGTCATCCTGACTCCCCTTCTTACTTGTCTCTTGAGCCTCAGCTTGGATGCCACTGCCCGGCGGCGGCGGGATCACGCCATGGCTGATGTACCTCACAGCTTAAAGCTCGGGTCCCCATGTTCCCGTTTCCTTCTTCTTTTAAAAGAGTAGTCACCGAGTGCAATCGCCATGAGCCCCGGTACGCACCTTTGGATACTCCTGGCCTTCCTGTTTCGAAAGAAACCAGAAGACTTCCCTGAACCCTAAACCCAAAATCCGAGACCCTCTTTGGCCAGAAAACTTCTCCAAGGGCCCCCGTGTTTCCTCTTCAAAGCCTTGAAGAAACGCAAAAGAACCTAGAACCCTTACAGAGCCCATACAAGACATTTATCGAACCTTACAGAACCCGTATACACCCCCGGGTAGAACTCTCATGGAACCACAATACAAACCCGAATAGAACCTACCTTTGCAGAACCCCTATAGAACCCTTACAGTCTACAGATCCTAAACCTTGAAGCCCTTATAGAACCCTTAAAGGAACCCCGAGCCAAGGAACCCTTAAGGACCCCTTAAAGGAAGCCTCAAAGGGTCCAGACTAGAAGGTGCCTCGGCAGGAGTCCATCGAAGCAGGGGTCTGCCATCTCTTGAAGGATCTGGCAATCCGATGTAGTCATAGGGGCTCATAGAGGTTCATAGATGGGTGCATAGGGGCTCAGAGGGCTTGGGGTTTGGGTCTTTTCTTTTTGTTGGGCGCCTGTTCCACCTGGAAGTATCCATCTGCCGGTGTCGGGCGGCCAAATCGGTCCGCCAGGTTTGGGTTAAGGGTGTAGGGAAGGTTGAAAAGCACCCCATTCCAATTCCGACACGGCTATAGTACAAAATCACAAATCCCGAAATCCTTAAGTTAATGAAGCTCACCCAACGATGTGCTGGACACTAACTGGATGGCTTCAAACAGTCCAGGAAGGGTGCTAAACGCGGTTGTCCGCAAGGGGTTATCTTACAGATCAGAAAATCCGCGCAAGATACGCTAGTTCAGACGAGGAGGACGGCGAGGACGAGGAGGGGGCCCAACGATGTCTGGCGCAATCACGACGATTCTGATAAGAAAATACCAGTAACATACAGTCGTCGGGGTCAACCTGTTGCAGGTCGAGGGATCCGGTGCTGATTCAACGAGTTTCTCGTGCAGCCTGCCTGGCACCTGATCCAAAGCCAAAGCCGTTAGAGTCTGCCTCTCGGTTGACATCTTCCTTTGGTGTTTTTAGCGTGACTAAACCAGAGCAACTTTGGGCCGTCTTTGCTGGGTCGGCTGGACTGTATCACAGCCTCGTCACGGGGCTAAATGCTTACATGCAGAGACGGATCCCCTGCCTTTGCTTCCAAGAGAGCAGCCTCCCAGTGTTCCTGAGACGGTGTAGCTGCTAGGTTGCGATGAGGTGCGACCCCAGCGATACTCTGAATAATGCTTATATAGCCTTCTGTTCTGGACGAAAGATACTGAGGGGACTGGTACCAGAACTATATACGCCGTCCTCGCAATGTTGACTGGTAAATGGTGATATCATGGATGAGAACTCTTGATACAATCTAATCGGCGCATAATTATTTGCTCTTCGATGTTCGAGGGTTCGCACTGCAGAGAGTCGAACTGCCACGGGCGGACACAGACGTTTTGGCTGGGCTCTGACTTCTGCCCTGAAGCACGACACGAATGCCCCAGCAATCGCATCGAGGCCGTGTTGGTAGCTTTCGGCATCACAAACTCTCACAAATATGCTCGGCCCATCCGTTCGAACCTTGAGTTTCTTTGAAACGCAGTATCGACCCCAGCCACGGTTGCACCGCAGGCGTCATCGTCATCGTTTGAGATGGCATACTCTGGTGATGGAAGGCTCTGATGACAAGCTTCGACAAAGAAGCACCAGCATGCAGGGAAGATGTACACTCTTGAGGAGAACAAAGAGACAGAAACCAACTAGGTAGAGTTCGGAGAAGAGGGCCAACGTAGAACTTAGCGGACTTTGCGGGTTGGGAATCTGACTGGTGAAAGACTCTTATTTGCGACACTGGCTGCCTCCAGCCCCATGCACCACCACTCCAAACTGCCTCCTACTGCTTACATTACTACAGTCTACTATGTTCTATGATATTAGACTTAGACTGCATTGTTCAAAACTGTAAAACATTGAAAGCATGGATCTCTGGCTTCTCTTTGAGAGCGCGGCTTGCGTCGGAGGAGAACTGTGCTTGACAGCGATTGGGATGGGGTGCCTTGGAGCCGCGGGAACCATCCGGAAGTGCACATGCTGCACTTAGGATTGGGATGCAGGGTTGAGGCTTTAGGGTTTAGGGCTTTGTGTGGGGTTTTGAGATTGGGGTTTAGGATTTTGGGGGTTGGGCGCACTTCAAGCGTTTGTAGTTTCGAGGCCGGGTGCACAATTGGGCTTCTGGAAACTACTGCGGCAATTGCCCGGAGCTGCAGCTGCAGGGTGCCAATGAAGGCTTGCACTGTTTACAAAGCATCCGACTTCCAGACTAGGGGGGCAATGGACGCAAGTGGCACCCCTAACCTCTTTGTCGCACATGTCATTTTCCTGTGTCCAAAACTGCAAGACTAAACCCCAGGCCCTAATTCCCCCCCAAACCCAAAGCCCTCAACCCCAAGCCCGATCACACCCCATCCAGTTTTCAACTTTCGCGAGCTTCTTCGCGAACCTCCAGCTGAGCCCGCTACGCCTGCCAGATGTCTTTCTCGGCGCCCACCACCTCCAAAGCCTCAAGACCAAGAACAAATCTCAGGACTTTAGATGGGATTCTGTTACTGGGACCCAAAATCAGGACAGGGTCTGAATTACTTGTTCTGGGGGGATACCGCTGGTAGTGCCACTCGTCACTACCAGGTCACTACCACTACGGTCGCACTTATGGGGCATTTGCCAATCCTCGGGTCTGGTCCTCAGCGTGTGTGCTTCGCAGCGTAAACCTGACAGAAGATTCCAATTTCCACAACACGCCGACCAGGATACCGGAGTACGGAGCTATGAAGAGAAGCATAATTACAGTTGAATATGTGTGTATGTATCTATCTATACATGTATATATATATATATATATATATATATATATATATGCAAGTGTATGTATGTATATATATATATATATATATGTATATGTAAAGACCTATGTACGAGTATTCTATGTATGTTGTACATACAGGTTTGCCCCACTAACTAGATGGACTAACAGACCGGAACTAAGATGCTAACCATTTTAACCAAGAGGTGTTGTGCGAGGAATGCGAACATGTATTCACGGATCATATTGGCTTAGTGACTTTTACTTCAGATCGTGCCATGCTCGTATGCGCAAGCGGTGAAGCTAGCAGCAGAAGCGGCAGCAGCAGCAGCAGCAATCGTCGTAGTAGTAGCGGGGGTGCTGATAGTGAAAAAGAACAAGGAGAGCTGATGGGAATCATGCTTTAGTGGCACCAGCAGTTCTGCCTGCTGCTGTAGTGGCACCAGCAGTTCTGCCTGCTGCACCTACCCTACACAAAGTTCCCCTGCCCGGCTGTCTGCATGACCCCTCCCTGCCCACCCGTATCCCTTCAAGAATAACCCTATGCGATCACAGTTATCCGGTACGGCAGGCCGAAAAATGCCACTGCCCTCGGGCGAAAGAACCTGAACTTGACCCTCTGCCACACCCCTGAACCCCAAACCCTAAAAAAGACCTAGCTCAAAGCGCCTCATGAACGGTTCCGAAGGAACCGCCTCCGACCTTGCCAATGACTTGGTACTCGGTGCCGTCGATGAAGAACTCAGAAATTTGCGGGTTTAGGGGGGAGTTAGTTGTTTCGGGTTTAGGGCTTTGGGGGGTAGGGGTCTATTGGTTTAGGGGTTCAGGGGCTCAGGGGTTTAGGGTGTAATGTTTAGGGACCAACGGCAACCTCTATGGACCCGACCTTCATGAATGGCTGTAAAATGTCGATAGAAGGGTTCAGTGTTGAGGACGTCGATACGAGTCACGAGGGTTTTCAGTGTCAAAACTCAGGACATCGTTGCAAGGGTTCAGGAGAACTCTGAAAGCAAAGCTTTGAGGCTGGGTGGGCGTGGGGTGGGTCCGGATGGCAAGAGACCGCCTGCTATGGCTGGGCCAATGCCTGGCTTACGTTTTGGGGTTCAACGTTTAGTTCAGCCCAGCTCAGATGTAATGCTCTGTTCTTAATTGCAAAGCGCCCCTGCCTCAGGTTAGAAAAAAACGAGCCCGGAAACTCAACACTAAACCCCTTTCAACTAAACATTCGAGAAGGCCTTTCGGTCAGCTGGGGGACCCCGGGGGGAGGGGTGGGGTTATTACTAAGAACTTAACAGTATGTTGCAGGACTACGCAGAATCACGCAGAGCTTGGCACACAGCTGGTTTGTGTTCCGACTTGCACAAACTGAAGCCTGAGGAACAGCAAATCGATCGAATCAGCCGCTATCTTGTCCCACAATGCAATGTAATTAGGAGCCTTAACGATTAGAGTAAACTTTTGGGGGATACCATAGTACAACTCCATTGAGGAAGGAATAGCGGCACTACTTCTTCGGGCTCCGGTGTTATGACGTCCTCTCGAATTTTCCAATTCGCTTGAATTGAAGCCTTTCAGTTCGCTGACAGGGCCCTGGCATATGGGTGGATATTCCAGTCCTCTCGAGGCTTTGTGGTGAGGCCCTTGGGGATGTGTCCTTAGAAGCACTCGCGGCCGGGCAGAAAGTAGGAGTTTACTGAGGGACATGCCCTCGAAGCATGGGGTGACTTCTGGAGCTCGAGGGCTCATTTCAACACCGGGTTTGCAAACCAATTGGGCGTTGTCCAATATGTATTCCTGTATCCGAGTTTCGGCGCTTGGGGCAAGCTGGTGCGGACTTTGCCCACCTCGCCGCGTGCGGACAAAACCTAAATGTATATTAGTATATTCGCAGGATGCGAAACTTCAGGACATCCCTGGCTTCAGACCTGTCCGCGCTTGCGCTAACCTTGCGCGCACGGGGCCTTTTTCGCATCATTATCATGGTAAGATTCAGCAAGGGTTTGCGGATGCAGCTCAACTGTTCGGCAGAGCGGGACAACGAACGAGGTGGCAGCCGTAAACTAGACTTTGGACCCTGCCACGTGCTCCAAGCCACCACCGAGTGTCAGGACTGCAAGGGAAGAGGTACACAGCTCGATGGATTATCAGACAAGAAATGCATTCCGATTCATATCAATTGTATTACTGGAACACGAATTAAGCCGCCAAGTCGCCAGGAAGCTCGAGGCAGTAGGTGGGCTTCACATGATTCCGCCTCAGGACGGCAAAACAGCACCCGTGTGTCTGCTGTCCGAGGCCTGAAAACTTGGTTAATTGGTTTTGTTGTTGTTGCTGGTGGAGATGGTGGCGATGCTCGATGCTGGTGCTGGCTTGCTGGCTTGCTGGCTCTGGTGCTGGTTTTCGGCAGATGAGTGCTGGCAAAGGCTCGTGGTGTCTGGTAAGTGTCGTGGTCACTGCTGGCATCCTAGCCACTGGCCCTGCGATGTGGCCACCACTTAGGGCTGATCGTGTCCTGCTGCCACTGCATCAATGGCGGCGGCGACGACGACTGAGATAACCAAACCACGACACCCCAAGTTTCCTGAACCGCGGTTTCACGCGGTGCCTACTGAAAGCACCGAGAGACTCCGAGCTGCAGGCCCTGGTCGCTCCTCTCTCTCCTCCAGATCCGGATCGTCCGTGGACACGTCGAGATCTTGGTCCATGTTGTGCAGGCTCTGCTCTCTGTGACCCCGGAAAGCTATCATGATTCATGAGCTCGCTAGATATACATCTAATCCTCCTCCCTGCAGCCCGAAACCTTCACCCCTCACACGCCACAGCTTGGGTGACGCGCTCCCCCTCTTCCCACGCATCTGGCGCCCATCCCCTCCCACCTTCTGCATCCGCTGTGCTCTTTCACATTACAGAAGCAAGTCGATGAGTTCTGTCACAGTGCTGGTCTCCGGCAAGCCGAGGCGGGCGGCGTAGCGTTAAAATCATATTTGATATCGTACTGCAATAGAACAAACAGAATACAGAATCTTATGTTATGATATGATATGTTTACATTGTATTCGATATGTTATCTCTGTATGTGTATCATGTTGTAAGCTGTATGTTATATGATATGCAGCACTACATATACATGCATTCGTCTATTTGTACATATAGGGGAGCTCTTGCCGGATATATGCTATATACATTATACCCATTATACCTGGTATAGGCTATGTGTTGGGCGGTAGTTGTGCATGTCATGTTTGTTACATGAATAGGTGACCTGCTTCATGTTCCATGTGGTAAGATGTATGTTCTATATTAATTCAGCACTGTTACTTATACTACATATGCTGCATTAGTGTATTGAAACATATAGAAGAAAGCTTGCCGGATATATGATATTGATATTGCGCTGTGCATGATTTGCATTGTCTTGTGTCTTGTGCGTGCTATTGTTCTATACTATTATACATCAGCTTGCCGGATCGTGCGGATGTGGTTCACCCCTTGCAGTTGGTGCTTGGGATCTCCGGAGCAGGAAGCTCAAGCGTGGCAGGCTTTTCGTCGTTTGTTAAGTGAACGTCTAATTCGTCTAAGATTGAGCTCCAGGGAGAGCGAAGCCCTACTTGCTCACCAAACTTGGCAGAAGACCATCGTCCATGGTCTCGTGGACGACCTGGCTCCGCGCTATGTTTCATGTTTCGGTGCTTTCCAGTCTCAACACCGAACACAAGCAGGGGCCTGTGATTCTTAATTCGGAGCCCTCCAAGACTCCAAGGTAGCAGCAGCAGCGGCAGCAGCAGCAAAACCAGGGGCAGGAGCCAAAGCCGCAGCCGTGGCGCACAGAGCAGAAGCAGTAGCAGGAGCCGGACAGGGAGCAGGAGCAGCCGGAGCCGGAGCCGGAGACGGAGCCGGAGACGGAGCCGGAGACGGAGCAGGAGACGAAACAGGAGCAGGAGCTTGAGCAGGAGCAGAGCAGGAGCAGTAGCAGTAGCTGTAGCAGCAAAATGCAATAGGATTGTTGTGAATGGGACAGCTCTAAACGAGTTATATGCAATCGTAAATCATGTAAATACCGAAATACCGAATAATAATGTAGGTGATGGTCACCCCCATCCCCCCACTCCACCCCCCCGCCGTCCCCCCGAACCCCTTCTTTCCTTCTTGATTGCCCTCGCCTTTTTGCGGCGCTTCGCCTCGTCTACTGCGGCTAAGGCTGCAAGTTCATTGGCTTCGTGTCATTGCGCTGCATGATTGCGCTGCGTATTCACGGCTGGGGCGCTGGGCTGCAACGTTAGTCTGTTCTGCTCTGTCTGCACTTCTACATGGAACCGAAGGCACCACAAAGCTCCCAGGGCCAGTAGCAGACATCTACGACAAGGGTGCCGAACAGAATTTTCAGATGCGCTTCCCTAAACGTGGTTGCCCAGAACATGCATTCGCCTCGGTGCCACTTGAATCTTCGCCGGGTTGAGTGGTCATCGTCTCACAGGCCGTGATGGAAGCTCCTGCATAGAATGCCGCAGGGGGCTTGGCAAAACAGCTGAGGATTTAGTTCTTACTTAGAGGTTAAGGCTCGGGGCTTTAAGGTGAGTTAGGGTTGCAAGTTTTGTGGTGGCAGGGCTTAAGCAGCGGGTGTCGGAGAGTCGGGGTTTCGAGTTCAGGAGCTCAAGCTGAAGGTAGTGGAGAAGACAACTAAACTAAACCTCGAAACGAACATTCACCTAACCTCCCCCGCACCCCACTTCCCATCCCCTCCCCCTAAATCTAATGCAGCAGCAGCCCGGCCGGCGCACAGCGCACGAGCCTGAGGCGCGCTTAAAACTCCTGACTGCAGATGCTCAACACAGCTGCCCATCCGTGCCAGCGCGCGCAGCAAGGGCAGGACGAGGGCGACATTCGAGCCCCAAAGGTTCCGAAAGTCACGAAGTGTAGCTATTCGGCTGTGATATCAATCCCAGCGGCGGGAACTTTTGCTTGGAGGCGGTTTGTTCGGCTCTTCTTTAGTAGCTTCGGGCTGCTGGCTCGAAGTTGGGTAAAAGCCTAAAACTGTGGACTGCGACGGAGTAAGATTCGAACAACATTGATACCGACTATAGCCGCTATAGCCGCTTGGATCCCTTGTAGAAGCAATCTAAGCAATCCCAGCTTTCCTGGAACACAGCGCGCTGCTTTGCCACAGCACGGCGTCGGTCATGAGAGTAATGTTTATCAATGAAGCCCAAGCCCGCACCTTCAGAGAATCTACGCTCTGTTTCCGCAAGTACCGGAAAAGCCCGGACAAGGCGAACGTGGTGCCGAAGAACCCTCGACGACAGGATCGCCATGCAACCTGTTTCGCACTACTGGCTGGCAGAATTCGCCACCAGCTTCATGCGCAAGGATGAAGAACCCAAGATGCTGATTGCACAAGTTGCCTATGTTGTGGATCCTCGCTGCGCTCACCAATGCAGCTGCCTAGTGCTTATGCGGAAGATTGTTGTTACCGCCACTTTCAGTATTGTCAAAGTAGCGGCTGCCACTGCTGCTACTACTACTACTACTACTACTACTACTACTACTACTACTACTACTACTACTACTACTGCTACGACTACTATTCTTGCAACTACGACCACTGCCACTACCACTACCACTTCAACTACTACTGGCACTACGACGACTACTACGACCACTACCACTACCCCTGCCATCCCCTGCTACTACCACCTCCACTGACATTACCACTACCACTGCCACTCCACAACTACTGCTGCGACTGCTTCTACTACTACTAATAGAATTAATACTACTACTACTACTACTACTATTACTACTACTACTACTACTACTACTACTACTACTACTACTACTACTACTACTTCTACTTCTACTTCTACTTCTACTTCTACTTCTACCACTACACTACCAAGACTTCTACTTCTACTTTTATTTGTACTTGTACTGTTAATTCAGCTTCTACTTCTGCTTGTACTACTACCACTACTACTACTACTACTACTACTACTACTACTACTACTACTACTACTACTACTACTACTACTACTACTACTACTACTAACTACTAACTACTAGCTACTAACTAGTACTAGCTGCTACAACAGCTACTATACTCTCACTTTCTTCTTACTACTATCACTCCTACCACCACTACCACTACTACTACTACCACTAACTACTACCACTACCACTACCACTACCACTACCACTTCCACTTCCACTTCCACTACCACTACCACTACCACTTACCACTACCACTACCACTACCACTACCACTACCACTACCACTACCACTACCACTACCACTACCACTACCACTACCACTACCACTACCCTACCACTACCACTACCACTACCACTACCACTACCACTACCACTACCACTACCACTACTACTACTACTACTACTACTACTACTACTACTACTACTACTACTACTACTACTACTACTACTACTACTACTACTCTACTACTATGATTGTTTCTCTCATTCATTACGGTGGGGGTTTCGATGTTACTGGTTTCGGGCACGCGGAAATGAGTCAGAAAGTGCAGCCCTCTTTTGATTCACGACGCCTCCGCGGAAGCACCCTGTGTCAACCTTTGCAAGTGCACCACAATTGCTCAGATGAGTGTGTGCTGTAATTCAAGACTGATCACAATGCATCATTTTGTACTGTTTACGCTACACTACATCATACTTGTAGTGCGGCCGGAGTGAAGAGAGGTGAGAAGGAACCCAGGGTTTTTGGGTCAGCTGTGGTCAGCCTTTATTATGGTTTCTTTGACTGGTTGTTTGCTGTTGTTCATTATGAGTTCCTATACCTGAGCCTGTCTCCAGCCCTGTACAGAGCAGAACTCAATCTTGAAGCCAACAAATTGATTGCAAACATCTTGCGGAGTAGGGGCTGCCCTTTGATGTTAACGTGTGATTCCGGGTTTTTGTTTTGGTTGGGGTTTCTGGTGTTTGACGTCTTTGGGTTTGGGGTCCAACAACAACAAGGGCATGCGCCGAGTGTCAAAGTTGAGGATCGATGAGTCCCCTGAATCATGTTGTGGTTTTACCTTTTGTATTTGTGTTGGCTGCTTTTCGCATATCGGGGAATTTGTCGTGACTAGTTACCGTTTAAGTCCCCGCAGAGCTGTTATTGGTGTGCCATGTGGGTAACAAACAACTAAGTAACTAACTACCACCACCACCACCACCACCACGACTAGTAGTAGTAGTAGTAGTAGTAGTACTACTACTACTACCACCACCACCACTACTACTACTTCTTCTACTACTACTACCACTACTACTACTACGACGACTACTACGACGACGACGACTGCTTCGGCCTTTTTTTCCTGCTCCTTCTCCCGCTCTTGCTCCTGGTCCTGCTATTTTTGCACTGTTCAGACTGCAGTCGTAGGTGGAGATGATGACGAAGGTGATCGCTATAATGGCTGTGCCAGTGGTAGCGGTCGTCGGAGTTTCGGCAAGCTTTAGTAGTTGTCGGTGTGGTGTAGAGGTTGCCGCTGACTGTAACGGTAATAATGCTGCCGTTGTTTGCCGTCGCACGTGCTGTCGTCGTCATCGGCGTGGTCGGTCGTCGCGGCAGCGGTTGCGGGTATTGCTGCTGATGTCGTTCTTACTGTCCTTACTACGGATGGTGTTATGTTGGGCATCTTTGCTGTAGCAGCCTGGGCCCGTTCGGTGATTATCTAGTTGCATTTTGCCT